GTGGTCTTTCTTTGTTGGATCGAACTAAAGTTCTTTCTGGAATTACATGGGACAAAGTCCCATAAGGGAAGTCTTTCAATTTTTCAAATCGTTTTTCAGTCGAAACTATGTGCACTATGAACATCCAAATGTGCTGCGAATATCCTGAAAATAGTTCATGTTCATAGCTTATTCCTACGGAGACACTGCACTTTTACGACATTTTTTAAATAAATACTGTGACCCCCTTCAGGATTACCAGAAAAAAGTGGTTCTAGAATTTCGACTTAAAACTTTACATAGAAACAGACCTTAACAAGAATAGTTTTTTTTTGTAAATGTTTCAAATCTTACCGTTGTTTCAATCCTAAGATACATCTATGGTAATAGTATATCTTTTACATCACTTATACAAACCAATAGATTTGATATTCTTATTTCAGGATAGAAACAGATCAAAAATCCTGAAAGTATTCTCGTTGAGGCCTGTCTCAATATAAAGTTTCAAGTCAAAAGTGAGTTTTCATGAGCGCATCTTCGGAAAGAATTTCAATCTAATGATTTTTGAAGATCTCTTCAAAAATTCCTGGAGATTTACTTTTAAAATTGTTTCCTCGAAAATAGATCCGATCATTTTCAATAATGTAACTATGGCAAATGCGTGACTCTAACCGGTTGTCCACAATGTGCTCTTAAACTTGTTTAATTAATTTTCATATTTTTTTTTTCTTTAAAAAAAGGCAATAATGAACGAACGCGAATTAAATCCAGCATTACGTCAACAATCAATTAAAACCAAGGATTCAAAACCAACTAAAGTTGGTGATGCTGGCCTTGAATGGCATCAACGAGCTTATGAAAGATGTAAACAACAAGCAAAAGATCAACAACGTCCTTTAAATGAAATTGTTTCGGAACGATATGGTGTAAGTTATTTAATAAAATTTCATTTTTTTCTTAACAATTTCTTTTTCTTTTTAGTCTGTGGAAAAATTAATGTCATTGATCAATGATGCTGAAGATCTTCATCATCGTTCATCTTCTAAGAAAAAATTTCTGGATCCAAACGAAAAAGATGATCGACATCATCGTCATCATCGTCATCGTCATCACCATCATGAGAAAAAATCATGGAAAAGAACAACAGATGATGATGATGATGAACAGTCAACACCAAAAAAACAAGCGCGTACAGATGAACAAGAGGAAGTAGAAACAGCCGATGTTGAACTGAAAAAGGATGAAAAAGAAGATGAATTAGTATCCGAAGAAAATCTATTAGAATTACGAAAACAGCTTATTCGAGCAGAACTTGCTGGTGATGATGTAAGATTTAATTAACTTTTTTTTTTTGTAATAATAAAATTCAATATGTATCGTTTAGGAAATGACTGAATTACTTCGTAATGAAATAAAACATATTGATAGTCTTCGTGGAAATCCACAACAAGATTCTATGACTGAACAACAACAACGATCTAACGATCCAAAAGTTCTTTTATTAACAACAATTGATCGTTATGGTGTTGAAAAACCTGTTCATAATGCATATGAACCAGGTCATCAACGTCAATATGGTCATGTAGAAAAACGTGATCGTCGAAAAATGAAAAAAGAAATTCGAAAAATGCGTGAAAATGATAAAGATCCTGAACGAGAAGGTTTATCATTAAATGATCTTGTTGAAATGGAACGACATTCAACAACAAATACAATGCCTGTTTTACCAAGTAATAGAAATAATCAAAGTATGACAGCTGATCGACAATTATTAGCATCAACTCGTCATTTATCTGGTTGGTCACGTATACAAGCATTAGCTGAACAAAAAAAACGGCAAAAAACATTTGAAGAATGTTGGTTATGTATTGAAAATCTTTCAAAATCATTTATTTTTGGTTTACTTGATCAATGGTATTTATGTGCACCACCACAACAATCACTTGTTGATGGACATTGTTTCATTGTACCTATTCAACATTCATCTAGTCGATTTCATTTAGGTAAGATATCGATTCGAATCGATTTATATAACATAGATCGTAAGTCTGACCTGTCTGGCGCAGCTAACATCGAAAAAGAAGCGAAATCTAATCAATAAAACTCAGCTCCAGTCAACTTCTATGTCATAGATTGTGTATTTTTATTGTACCTAGTAGTCTTATCATAATATAATTGAAGCGAAACAGACGATTGTCTTTTTTATGCCAAGGCAAGAAAATCATGTATACCGAGATTATATGACTATAAGAAACATTTATTGATCTAATAGAACAAAAAGAACTTGACTTTAGAAGAACATTTTAAATGAATTTAATGAACTAGTTGAAAAAAGAATATTAAGTTTAATCATCACAGGTAGTTCAGAAAACGGGATCTGGTCGTTTAAACCAGTAAGTTTTGTCCAAAACTACGGCTTATCACGCCTAAATATTGTTCCGAAGTGGAAAATAACAAGAAATTTTTCCTCATAAACGGTGTCGAAACGTTATTATACATATCTGATTTCAATACTATTTATAAAAGATAACTTCTGGCTATTTTCTGCTTCGAATTGGCATTTTAGGTGTGATAAACGGTAATTTTGGAGAATATATATTGGTTTAAGTGAAAAGTATCATTTTCTGAGCTACTTTACATATTACAGCAATATGAATAAGAGAGCAATAAGAGTTACTTAACGATTCATAAAGGATAAAATAATGATTCATAGGAAGTACAAGTAGTAAACTTAAGAAAATGTATAAGTAAGTGAATCATAAAGTTGCAATTTAGTATTAATTATGATTGTATATTCAATCTTAAAAATGAAGTTGTTTTTTTATTGAAAATTTAGAAAAATGCATGACAGATACTCAATACACTGAGCCTATATGTGTCTCAGACGTGCAGATGTCTAGGCTCGATTATTTGTTCAGACTTCTAGTGTACAAAATAGTCTGTGAGAGTTAAATTCAAAAATTGGTTGATATAAATGTGCTATGGTTCCTAGTCAGTCTTTTCACCTGTTTCTTTTCGCTCCTATGAATTCAATTATAATTTTTTCTCATAAAGTAAGTCTTGTTTTTATCTTTAGCTTAACCTACGATAGACAAAGAAAATTTTTATTTAGTTAATATATTTCTTTTATTATAAATAAGTTTTTCAATATGAAACTTTATAGGAAAAAAAACACATAGAGTTACAGAAATGTTAAGAGAAAATATTTCTAGCAGAAACAGGATTTCCGATTGTTTTTGAGGGTGTGAGAAGTAGAAATCAAACAGGATATGTTGACGTCATCGACTTTCTATAATATTTTGTATCAAAGAAAGTATCTTCATATGAATACGTATCAGAAGCACAGATAAAACTGTGAAAATTCGATATTATTCGAAAAGGAAAGCCTCTATTTTTCCATTCTCATCGATAACCCTGAGCAAAGATAAAAGTGTGTTATCGAGTATTTACATTGAATTACTACATGTTACAGCTAAAGAAAAAATAATAATGAATGGTTAACATTAGTTGTAGCCGCCGGATAAGTGAATAAATATTGCAATCAAAAACTATGTATACACAATCGAAATAGTTTTGCTTGAGTCTGCATAATATAAATTAGTTAGAATAGCGTGATATGCGTTTGATTGTTTTTGTCACAAAGAAATCGTTATCTACAAATAGTCTATGATAACACTTCCCACGCCTCTATAACAGAACAACTAACCCAGTATCTTGACAAGATCAGTCGTTCTTTATATGCTTAAAAAACACAAACTCAATGTAAGTATTTGTTCCATAGCTGAAGTCGACTTGAATCAGTGCGATATTCATTTTAATACTATATATTCATAGTATTAAATTGCACTTTGTTCTTTAGATATTCTTTCAAAAAATACTTAGGAAGATAAGCTGATAACTTTAGTTAATCTGAATAATCAATGAAGCAGCTTGATATGCACATGATTATGTAGATAGGTTAGAAGACGGTATTTTGCCGTTTAAACCAATATGAATTGTCCAAAGTTACCGTTTTTTCATACCTAAATACTGTTGCGAAGCACAAAATAGAAAGAAATTGCCCTTCATAAACGGCATCGAAACATTATTATTGATATGTGGTGATTAGATACATATCGTAAAGTTTCGATGCCATTTATGAGAGCAATTTCTTACTATTTTCCCCTTCAGAACAGCTTTTTATGTGTAATAAACGATGATTTTAGACAAAACATACTGGTTTAAACGACACAAATACCCTTTCCTGAACTACCTGTGTGTACTAAGAGTACCATATATAATTTTAAATGGCTTTAAATAGTGAATGAGAAGTAAAGAAAAGAATTAGATTGCAGAAGTAGAATTCAAAACAAAGCCAATTTTTCTATTAGTTCTTTTTATAGTTTCATAATAAATGATTCAATGAATAATTTCATTTAATATTAAATAAACATTTATTTTAGACGATGATGTTCTTTCTGAACTTGATATATTAAAAGAACAATTATCTGATTTATATCGTAACCATCATAATCAAGTACCAATATTTATTGAAACATTTAAAAATCCTCGTTTATTACCACATATGTATATTGAATGTATTCCAGTTCCAGTAGAACAAGCAAATTTAGTCCCAATGTATTTTCGTAAAGCATTACTTGAAAGTGAATCAATGTGGTCAACAAATAAAAAAATTATTGAATTAAATCATCATCGTTCACGTACATTAAAATCCGTTATACCCAAAGGTTTACCATATTTTTGTGTTGAATTCCCAGCTGATAAAAGTAAAAATGAAAATCTTTATGGTTATGCACATATGATTGAAGAACGTGGTCAATTTCCTTTATATTTTGGTCGAGAAATTTTAGGAGGTTTAATGCAAATTGATAATCCATTATTATGGATGAGACCATCTAATAAAGAACCAGAAGATATTATTGAAAAGAAATGTACATTTTTAAAACAATTATGGAAAAAAAATATAAATAAATTATCAACGTAATTGATATTTATTGTTGTTGATTTTTGTTTCCTTCTAGATGTATAAGAATTTTTTATTTATTTTATTTCTATGTGTTTTTAATGTTAATACATATCAAGAAGAGAATGATGATGAATTTATTGATATTGGTGTACGATTAACTGGTGATAATCGAGATTATCTTATAGCAGATCTTATAGCCGAAGAAAAAAATTTATTTAATGCTGGACATGTAAATATAATTATAAATAAGTTTATTTATTAAATTCTTTATTGTTTTGTTTTTCTTCTTTTTGAAATAGATTCCTGGTATTGGTTTACATCATTTTCGTATTCAAAGAAAAAGTGGTCGAAGATCTAAACGTGCTCTTGATGAAACTATTGAAGATTTAAAACATGATGAACGAGTAATTAAATAATTGAAATAAAATTTATTTCGAAGAAATTTTATTTTTATTTTAAGATTGAATATGTAACTATTGGTGAATCATTAGAAAGACAAAAACGTGAATTTATAAATGATGATGAATTAGAAAAATTATATAAAACATATCGTCATTGGAAATATGATCAATTACCTATTGATATGGAATCTATGACTGATAATTCGTCATTTAAAATGTCTTTTGACGATACTTATTACAAAAAACAATGGTATTTGGTAAGTATATCATTCATCTTATCATTTTAGAATTGAAATTTTAACGAGTAGAGCGAAATAAATGAATGAATGAATGACCGTGTTTTGCATTTCATCACCCGATATATTTTATTAAAAACAAACAAAATATAACATAAGATGCAGTTTGGAAAGTTTTATAATTTACAAATAAAAGTATACTCAATATATTCCATATAGTCTTTTTGCAGCAAAATCGTTAGTTTAGACGATTTACTCATTTTACATCAAGTTTTGATTATTTTTTCTATTAATTTACTTTCATCTGATGTGAAAATGCCGATTTCATTCCACAAAAGGCAATTTTGATGGATTACAGTAGAGCTTTCCATGAGATGGAATATTCCCATTCCATATGAAACAGTTCGCGATAACTCAACCTATGGGACGATTTTTTCCCGTTCGATCCCATCCCATATGATGTCATGGGTTACAACATGTTTTGTTAGATGATACTGCGAGTATTTTTACTGATTCTATCTTTCTATTCGTGATATCAGTCGATCTAGCTAGTAGGCTTCTCGATATTTTCTAGAGGTGGGAAAAACTGCGAGTTCGACAGAAATTAGGCAGAAGGAAACTCATCGTAACCCGATTCCTCTCACAATAGATGACCTGCGACTAGGCCGTTCCTTCTTCGGGTTCTTCCTAGTTCTATTCACCTCGCAACGAAATTGTCTGCTTATTTTTATTTCCTTTTCTGTCAGAGAAAAGCAAATGATGTTTTCTTATCCTGTTTCTATTCAAAGTTGCCGTGAAGCGGTCCAAACTTGACAGAAAGTCAGACATTTTAGAGCGGCAACAAGGGTTCCATCTAATTGAGAATCCTGATATCTAGTACAGGCAGCTCCAGCGCATTCACAAATCTATAGGAGCGCAATTTTGTCTAGGATCTGACATTTTTCTAAAAGTTTAAAAACTGATGTATGGAAGGACTTTTAAAACTTCAGTAAAAGAACTGCCAGTTTTCGATCGATCGTCACGATATAGGATGCATCTTTTAAAATAATATGCAATGGAATGAAGTTAAAAGTATAGGTCACTGATTGACAGAATGAGAAAAAGAAATGAACTTGTAGTCAGAACCGAAAGTTAGTCGAACAGAATTTCGTTCATTTGGAAAACAACTGTTGCATATATCAAATAGACGTATATTTGTGAATTGTAGAGCTTTACACGTTGAATCTTTGTATTTTAAATAGAATGTATTGAACAATGAAATGCAGAGCGTGACCATTTATAATGCAGTATCAATTATCTATTTATTTATTCTTTTAGGAAAATGAAGGTCAATTAAATACTCCGGCAAATCATGACATTAATGTTATTCCAGCTTGGTTAGCAGGATATTCCGGTAAAGGTGTTACGATTTCTATCATTGATGATGGTCTTGATCATAAACATCCAGAATTAAATGATCGATACGTAAGTATAAAAAATGATTTACATTTTGTTTTTCGGGGAATAGACTTTTTTGTCATCTTTTGATTAATTGGGAGAAAAACAAAATATATAATCTTTCTATATATATATATATATTTGGGATATTAATATTCTTTTATGCGCGTAGCAACCTCAGTTCAGTTATGATTTAAATGATCTTAATGATACTGAACATGATCCAAGCCCAAGAACTTATGATAGTTCAAATAAGTAAGATGAGAATGCAAAATATTATAGAATTTTACTAACATAGCACAGATTTTTCTACTAACTAGCATGGTGTGTGAGTGTTAATGCATGATCTTCTTCTTTTTCGCTCTTTTCTTTTTCTTTTAGTTTTTTCTATTAATAACTTAAAACTTTGTTTTAGTCACGGTACTCGTTGTGCTGGAGCATCATCTGGTAAAGCAAATAATGGTATGTGTGGTGTTGGTGTTGCTTATAATTCATATATTGCTGGTAAGATAAAATATAAAAGGCGACTATAAGAGTTCGACTACACAATAGGATAGATGTAGGATTGTACAGAAAAACTTCCTCTGTCTGATATTGAATGCATTATCAGATAGAGGAAGTCTTTTTTTTTAAAGTCTGCATATATTCCTTTCTGTCGTCAAAAACCATCGAACAACTTATAGTTGCCTTTCTTTAGTTTATATACATTGGTTTTTCTCTGTTTCAATTAGGTATTCGACTTCTTGATGGACGTATTACAACATTACTTGAAGCACGTGCATTAACATTATTTGCTACTAATACATCTATTAAAAGTGCATCATGGGGGTAAAATGAATATTATTATTAAATAGAAAATAAGAATTGATTTCTATTTAGACCAACTGATGATGGAACAAAAATGGAAGCACCGGGTGCACTTGTTAATGCTGCTTTAGATTATGGTGTTACACATGTAAATAGTTTTCTTTTTCTTGTTGTTTTGTTTTGTTAAATAATATATATTTTTTTCATTAATTAATTCTAGGGTCGTTATGGTAAAGGTATATTATTTGTTTGGGCATCAGGTAATGGTGGAACAGCTGGTGATGATTGTGGTGCTGATGGATATGTCTCTCATCCTAATGTAATATCTATTGGTTCAATAAATCATTTGGGTAAAACAACATATTTTGGTGAATTTTGTCCATCAACAATGGCTGTTGCTTATACGGGTGGTCGTCATGCACGTTCAATTCGTGAACCTTTTATTCCCGTAGGCGTTGTTGCTGCTGATGTTGGTGGAAAATGTACAACGAAATTTTTTGGTACATCTGGTGCTGCACCAGTTGCTGCTGGAGCTTTAGCACTTGTACTTGAAGCGAATCCAGAACTGACTTATCGTGATGTAATGCATATTATAGCTGAAACAGCTCGTATACCAAATTTATCTGAAATAGATGATTGGATGATTAATGGAGCTGGTTTTCATGTTAGTGATAAATTTGGTTTTGGTGTACTTGATGTTGGACAAATGATTGCTTTAGCACAAAATTGGACAAATGTAAATCCAAGATATGATTGTTATCATGAATATAAAGGTTCTCCTGTGTAAGGATTCGTATTAAAAGTTTTTTTTTTTTGTCTTGAAATATTTTAATTGATTTTTATTTGTTTGTAGTTCATTAACAATTGGTGCTACCGTTGAAGTGAATATTGATGTTGATAAATGTGAAAATGTAACAAGTCTTGAACATGTTCAAGCTAATGTAACATTTAGTTTTCATCGTCGTGGTGATGTAAAAGTTACATTAATATCACCCAGTGGAACCCTTTCAGAAATGATTTCTTACAGAGACAATGATGCTTCGAGAAAAGGTATTTATTATTTTTGTTTTTGTTTTAATTTTTCTTTGAGAGTATAGGTGAAGTTTTATCGACACTTCGTTTTCATAAAGAAGGAAAGATTTTCAATTGATAGTCGAAGTTTAAAAAGAAAAAGGCGACCAAATTACGATGAATAACGAAGGAAATTATTGAAAACAAATACAGACATGATTTGTGATTCACTATGAATATTCGCCACTCGTAAAACATCTTTTAGTAAAATTTTATCCTGAAATAAATCAAACCTTTTGTATTGAATTTGTACCTCTATTAAAAAAACTATTTTAACTTTATCAGAAACTTCATTGAATCTTATCTATCGAAACTATTTGAACTTGTAGTTTTTATAAATAGAAATGTGTACAGTGAAAACCTTTGTCCTTTATTGTAACACGTCGCTAATAAATGAAATCATTCATGTATATTTCTAGGTATAAAATATTTTCCATTCATGTCCGTACATAAATGGGGTGAATCTCCAATTGGTCGTTGGACATTACGTATAGAAACTCGTGCACCACAAAGTGATGGATCAATGAGATCAGCAATTGAGGATAGTACAGGTGAATTGAATTACTTTGGACTGCGTCTCTATGGTTCATATTCATCAAATGATGAGAAAAATAATATTCAAAAACGGCAAGAATCAAATGCTTTTGTACCAACACAAAGTGAATTAGAATGGATATATAAACGAGAATTATCGATACGTGAATCACCGAATGTTATGCAAAAACGTGAATATCAAAGTTTAATAAATGAACGACAACGCCGCAAAGAGAATTCCGATCAGTCATTATTTTCATCATTTCGTAGAACATTTGGTTTTTGAAAAAATGAATGAAAAGAGAAAGCAACGATCACCGGTGTGATGTTTTTTTTTGTTTCTATGTCCTTCTGTTTTTTTCTTTGCGTATGCACTTCCTTGATGTGTATATGAAGTATTTATTTAAGTATTGTTTTTACTTTTTTCTTTTGACTGTGAATCGAGTGGCAATAATCTGTGTTTCGTTTCTTTTTTATTCCTATCTATCTTACTCATTTAAATTATACAATTTTTTTTCTTGTGTGATTGAATTTTATGATTAATAATGAGAATTATCTAATAAAGAATCTCAAATATTGAGGCTCATTTTTAAATGATTGTTCCGTCTTTCGTAACTTGTTAGAAAAAGAAGATTCATTTTAAAGGAAACAAAATCTTAAACGAACTCGTGTCGAAATTTACAGCTAAGTAAAAGACAATTAGAAATTGTTTCTTATCTTATTACCCATAAACTGTCGTACAATACTGAAAAGACTACGAAAAAATCCTCACCTATGGCGTGGAAGTCTTGGCATAAAATGTGTGTTCATTTTTCGGTCATTAATCCTTTGACTACAGATTTAATTTTTTTGATACGATTTTACGAAAATATTTCAAATATTAAAACAGATATTTATCTTCTCAAAAGTTTTGTAACGTATGGAAGTCTTTGAAGCAATCACACAGAAGATGATCACAACAATCGACAGAGCAAGAGAGACAATAGACGAGCTAGTCACTTGCATAAACATCAATTGCTAACAATCAGGTATCACATTATGATACTTCTGCAGTCAAATGGTTAAAAGAAAACTGGTTAGAGACAATATCAGAATTCCTTCACTGTTTTCAAATATGTGCAGATTTTCTTGCTGGACTACAAAAATTGAAAATTTTATAAAACCTTTGATTTCTCCATGAGTTTGATCTTTACCATAGTCATATTGACGAGATACCTTGTCACACATGACGGTGACTCATGACCACTTTACAGGCCTGTAGTAAAAGGTACCGTATTGCATTTTATTTCTAACGAGAGAACTTTTCGAATTGGTACCTTCTATTTTGAGCTCAAATTGAGCTTACAAGGATGTCTTGGGAAGACTAGCAGAAGGCTAAAAGGTTTCGTTTCTATGGATCTTTGGAAGTGAGTTGTGATCATTTTACTGAATTTTCAACTCAAATTCAGGTGGTTATTGAAAAATCAACAAACAAAATTTCAACAAGAAGTTCCGTTTTTTGGATTTTTCAGTCTATATTTTCAGCTTGGCCGAAAATTCAGTACAACGATCATAACTCAGCTGCAAAAGTCCATGAGAAGAAGCTCTGTTAGGATTTTGAGTCTTACCAACATCTTCTTGTTGATCTAGTATGAGCTCAAATGACGGATATCAGTTCGGATTGTTCTCTCATAAGTAAAAGTAACAACTGATCTCATATATGCACAACTGAATAATTCATTTCATAAAAAAAAAAGAAGCAATATTGTATTTTGATTCTATGTTGGACAGAAAAAACAGTCATCTGATCCAAAAATCTTTAAACTTTTGTTTAAGGAGTATGGTAATAAAGCATGAAAAAGAGATATCCTATGATCTTCTGTATTTAAAAATTACATTGAAGTTATATTGAAAGTTTGTTGAGCATATTTTATTAAGACTATTAATAATTCTTCATGCAATTCTTAATTATATTAATTTCAATTTCTCTTATTTTGTATAAAAATTTCTAAACTAATTTTATCAATACTTTTTAATTAACAAAGTTTTGTTTTTATTTAAAAAATAAGCATGTTTTTCATAACATTTTGATATGTTATTAAGGATTCACTTAAGGCTTTCAGATGGAAGATTATTGTTCACTATTTGTTGATGGTACTGTTTCACTTTGACTTAATTTTGGCTTATAAGGATTTATTTCCATAAGTTTATCGGCCAACCATAACTTAAATAAATCAAATAAATAATAATTTTCAACATAGGAATATCTTACCACTGGATCTTTAGGTTTCTCTTTACATAAAGCAGTTAATGCTTTAATTAATGTTTTATTAACATTTTGTTCAAGATAATCTCTTGCTGGTTGTCCAGTTGGAATCGGTTCAACAACACCTTTATATATGAGTTAATTTTAATTTTAATTTTAATTTTAATTTTATCTATATTTTCTGTTTCACTTACAATTTGGAAAGAAAAATCGAATCTCTCTTTCAGCACTTACTGCACTATCACTTCCGTGTACTGCATTTTTTTGTTCATTCGTTCCAAATAATGCTCGAATACTGTTTAAGAAAAAATAGTCATTAACAAAATTAAATAGAAAAATTCAAATATGAAAACCTGTCTGGATGTGTTTCTTTTGCTGTATTTGAATTTGTTGGTCCAATTAAATTTCTCCATTCTTGTATTGCATTTTCTCTTGCTAAGACCATAGCAACAATAGGAGCACTTGTCATAAAAGCAACAAGACTTGGAAAAAATTTTTTTCCATAATGTTCACTATAAAAATCTGAACATTGCTCAGCTGTTAATGTTATACGTCTTTTCTAATTAAAATAAACATAATCAAAAACAAAAATGAAAATTCTAACAAACTTGTAAAACAGTAAAACCATGTTTAAGAATAATTGTTTCAATTTCATCAGCTTTATTAACAGCATCAGGTTTAACTAAAGCAAGTGTTCGTTCAACAAATATTCCATGTTTTGAATCCATTAGAAAGCTCTTATAACTTCTTAATATATCTTCAAAACTATTTTATTGTTATTGATTTGTTCGATTATGTTTACAATGTTTTCACTGGAAATCTAAAACAAATGTTTTCTTCCATTTTACTTTTACGAACAAAATGTACTAAAATCAAGTTTTCAACAATCTAAAAAACAGAAAATAATGTTTATATTCAGGAATATATATGTTTTACACTCTATTTTTTTGTGCAACATGTTAAATAGCATGTATACCAGAATCAAACTAGCTCAGGATATATGAGTTAGTTTCAGAAGAAAAACTCTAGAAATCGATTGAATTTAGATGAAGTATTCTGGACGCGAATGTTTACGAATTTTTTTGATAACTTACAACTAGCTGTTTGTTTTTCACGGCAAGAAACAATCAAAAGTTACCAGAAAAATCGTCGATGTTCCAGTACGAAATACGATGTTCAAATTTTATCGATTTTTCAAGATTTTCTGTCACATACTGTAATATTGTCGCATCTTTCCGACGGAATTTACGTGTCTGCGAAATCAGAAATTATCAAACGAGAAATAAATTTTCTTTACATTCTGCTATTGGCAACGCTGCACTTGCATTATAAAAAATTTTTCTTGAAATAAAATCCATTGTAGATGACCGTAAACTAAATTTACATACTATTTAAAAATATTTTTTTTTTATTATTCAAGAAAATTGTTGTCATAGTTAAACCTCTCAATAAACTTCAGACAATTAATAGATGTCATGTATTCAATTATAACGATTGGTTATACAAAAAAAAGCCAATTCTATCCTATTCTTTTCTTTTCTTCTTTTTTCTATCCTCTCCTATTCAAATCATAAACAATGGCTACAGCTACTGAAAATATCCAAGGCAATATAATAATTCTTGGTGCCACAGGAGCCACGGGCTTACAGCTTGTTGAACAAGCATTAGCACGTGGTTATCGAGTAACAGCACCTGTACGAAATCTGAAAAAATTGAAACATATCGAAAATAAAAATCTTGAGGTATATTATTTTTAGTTTAGTGACACCTTCGCAAACGGATAATACGCTTAATACAGCAAAAAATGTGAGGATGTCACTAAACTGCTGTTGTATCTAATTTTGAAATGTATCAATAACTAAGATTGTTTCAAGGTAGTACAATGTGATTTGATGAACCCGATAGATTTAGCTAAACATATGAAAGGACGTACTGCTGTTTTATCAGCTCTTGGTTATCCTGGCTATACAATATGGCCAATAACTTTTTATGAAGATTCAATTAGATCAATAGTAACAGCTATGCGTCAAGCAAATATTAAGCGATTCATAGGCATTACTTCAATGTATTCAAAATGTAAATAAAGTCATTTTTTCACAAAGAAAAAAAAATTATATCTGCACACTTTTTTAAAATGATTAATATAGACCAACCACAATATCCATTTATGATTAGGTTTCTAATTCGTCCAATGATTAGTCGAACTCTTGATTCAATGTTTAATATGGAAGAACATCTTGAAAAGGAATGTCAAGATTTAGAATATACAATTATACGACCACCTGTTTTAGTTAATGATTCTATTATCGGTAAGATTTAAGTTAAATTGATTCATGAATTTTATCTTCTTATTTAGAAAGTGAAATTAAAGTTTGTGAAAATGATTATCAGTTTCCTGATCAATCAACAGTAATGCGTATACCACGAGCAAATGTGGCCCGTTTTATGTTAGATATATTAAAAGATAAGAGATATATTCGACAAGGTCTTGCCATTGATATGCCAAAAAATACTACATAAATTCGAATAGAAAATAATTGCTTAATATAATAAATAATAAAGATGTCCAGGTGCTTCTGCACGATGTGCACACCCCTCGTTCTAAACAATGGCAGGAAAGGAAAAAAAAGTATTGGAGCATTCGTTCTATCAATTAAAATATCGATATCAAAGATGATGCGAGGTAATCGTTCTATTAAAAGATAGTGAATTGTTCTGTCGTGATGAAAAGAACATAGTTCACAGATCTAATAATTAAAAGCATAAGTACAAAACGTAAGTAAAGTTAGCAGCAGATTCGAGTTTTTTGGACAAATATTCGCCAACAGACTTGTGCCACACAAGATCGTTGTTGTGCCAGATAGAGCATCGAATATGCTGTGCAATGACTCGCTTTCAAAGAATTTCCAACCTCAGGAACAGCTGAAAAATTCAAAATACTGCTTTCAAAACACTGATTTTAGTGCAAAAATCAGTATTTTGATCTAACATTCGTTTCAAGAAGTGTGCCACTTGAGACAACAATTGTGCCAGATAGACCTCAACGAGATCTATCGAATGATATAAAATTCACCGAGCTTCATCACATAGGTTGGGGTCTAGCAGGGCGACAGGTTGTTCTAGAGGGTGTGGGGCAGATATTATGAAAAAATATTCATTTTGAAAGTTGTGCCAGTTGAGAAAACAATTGTACCAGACACATCTCAACGAGATCTATCGAATGATAGTAAATTGACCAGGGTTCATCACATAGGTCGGAGTGAAGCAGGGCGACAGCTGGTTATAGAATGGTTTGGGGTCCATATTATGAAAAAATATTCATTTTGAAAGTTGTGCTACTTGAGAAAGCAGTTGTGCCAGATAGATCTCAACGAGATATATCGAATGATAGTAAATTGACTAGGTTCATCACATAGCTCGGAGTGAAGCAGGGCGACAGTTGGTTACAGAGGGGTTTGGCGTCCATATTATCAGAAAATATTCATTTTGAAAGTTGTGCTAGTTGAGAAAATAGCTTCGCCAGAGGGAACTCAACATCATCTATGGATTGACACTGAATGGACCCATATTCATCACTGTGGTTGGGGTGTAGCAGGCTGACAGGGGATTATGGAGAAGAATGGGCTCCCTATTATCACCGATTATTTGTTTTGAAAGTTGTGCCAGTTGGGAAGGGGGTTATATTAGATAGAACTTGATACGGTGTAGGGACTCGTATAAGATTGTTCGATCTCCATGGTTGAGGTCGATTTGTGGGGGTAGTAGAATTTTGTTATAGAGCTGTTTGGGATATATGTCAAGACCTGATAGGCGTTTCAAGATGTCGGTCGCTTAAGAAAGCATTTTTATCTGATAGAACGCGATGAGGTACATTGATTGTTCTTCAGTGGAGTAATGTGCATTACAAGGATTGATCCCTAATTGGTGAATAAGCGGTAGATTATGGTATTGACGGTTATGGGAATGAGAAACATAAGTTGTACGATTTCTGGGAGCTAGGAAAACAGATACGCCGTATAGAGTTTAATCGGGGTCCACCGAATTGTACGAGCTTGAATCGTACGCATTGGATGGGCTTTTCGATGTTTGAGAGTTGGAGCAGATAAGGGATTTTTCACTCGTTGCAGGGATTGCTCGTGGTTTGTATACTACAGCTTACTTGTGCTGGAGTCCAGATTATTATCGTAGGTGCAATATCAGATTGCGGAGCTGAAGATGCTCGTTTCGTTGGATATTGTTGAAGTAAGGAGTAAACGTTTGCGGATAATATCAAATTACTCAAGTCATTGTAAATTTTGTAAGGTGAACAGACATTCGATAATTTTTAGTTCTGTATCTCGTTTATGTGACATTTGCAATCGTGGCTTATCTATGCTAGAGGGCACTAACCTTGTGATTCACACTTTTTATGTGTTTAAGTGCATCTATATGTATATTCGTAAGTACTGGGTTGTATGTGATCATGTGCGCATCTTTGTCTCCCCTTCTGTGCTGGTCTTCTCTTTCTTTTTCATTGTTGGACTTTCCCTCTCATCATCTTGCACGGATCTTTGCTAATCGTTTTCTTAGTCTGTCTGAATGATTCAAATTCTAGCCGTCTGTCTACGCCAATTTTCCCACTCATATTGTGTAACTAAAATAGAAAATGCTTACTGTCTGCTTTTTTTGATGGCAGGCTGTTCAAAGTAGGCGCGGAATCACAAGATTGCCTTCTCCGCCTCACGTCTTTTTTACCTTTGTAATTCTTCTTTTCGCTTGTTTTTTTTCTCTATTTGCATAATGATGAAAAAAATAGGAATTTCAGTGACCAACTCCAGAAATTAACTTGGTAAGGAATTATGAATTATCTGGCTAAATGCCTGAAAACTGACCTCTGTAACACTGTCACTAGCTGTATGTTCAGCGATACAGGTTCCAAAAGTGCGTACTGATTTCTCCCAATCAGCTACTTACTGGTTCTCGAAATAACCGTTTTCGTCTGTTGGTACAATAGGAAAATTTCATTTCACTTCGTGGATGGTGAAACGAAGTTCTTCTTTTGCGGCCCAGCTGGGGTCTCCCTAAGTTCATGTTACTTTTTATCGTACTTGTAGAACATTTCCGATTTCGATGAACGACATTCTCACCAAGTCTCTGTTTCAGCACACATATACATGCCTCAACTTCCCTTTTCGGCTAGCTGCTAGTTCCGCAACTGAAAATTTCAGCTTACAGACATTCTTATCATTGCTCGACATTTTCCAAACTTCAACTTTCAGTATAAGGTAACTCGAAACTTAGTATTTCGAATGTAGCCAAAACATATTTCACTAACATCGGAATCACAGTTCCCACCATCGCAAAAACAATCAAATTATCCACGGAATTAACTGATTTTCAATTTTTTCAGAAACCAGTGTGCGAATTACGGAACGAATCGTCAAATGAAAAGATCCGAGAACCCAATGCGGCTGAAAAATCTCAATGTACAGGTTCTTGCGAGCTCATTGTACCATTGAAAATCATATCAATCGAAAAATCTCATTCAGTTCGATCTTAAGACGAGCCGTGTTCTCAATATCCACAAGTGACAAAGAGAATATTTGATACATAACATGAACCAAATCACCCATCCTACAAGCCATTCGCCATGTCAAGGCCGCCCTTAATCATGACCATGGCGTAGTCTAACATCCATTGCCAGATATCTTTGACATCTATCTGAGACCAATACTTTCCTCACTAGCAAAATTTTCAAAATGAATATCCGGTCATAATATAAATCCTAAACGCCTCGGTTGCCATCTGTTGCCCACCTAGCTCCCAACCATGATGATAACTATGGGTAAATATTATATCATTCAATAGATCTCGTCGAGTGCTATCTGGCACAACTGTTTCCTCAACTGGCACAACTTCCAAAATGAATATTTTTTCATAATATGGACCCCAAACCATTCTATAACCAGCTGTCGCTCTGCTTCACTCCGACCTATGTGATGAACCCTGGTCAATTTACTATCATTCGATAGATCTCGTTGAGATGTGTCTGGTACAATTGTTTTCTCAACTGGCACAACTTTCAAAATGAATATTTTTTCATAATATCTGCCCCAAACCCTCTATAACAAGCTGTCGCCCTGCTAGATCCCGACCTATGTGATGAAGCTCGGTGAATTTTATATCATTCGATAGATCTCGTTGAGGTCTATCTGGCACAATTGTTGTCTCAAGTGGCACACTTCTTGAAACGAATGTTAGGTCAAAATACTGATTTTTGCACTAAAATCAGTGTTTTGAAAGCAGTATTTTGAATTTTTCAGCTGTTCCTGAGGTTGGAAATTCTTTGAAAGCGAGTCATTGCACAGCATATTCGATGCTCTATCTGGCACAACAACGATCTTGTGTGGCACAAGTCTGTTGGCGAATATTTGTCCAAAAAACTCGAATCTGCTGCTAACTTTACTTAGGTAAGTATAAAAGTATGTGGGCAAAAAAACACAGACATTCATCATGGATAACACACTTCTCGCATCTCTTGATCAATTTGACTTTCGCGAATGGGCCGATTTAACAAGTGATAAAAAGAAATGCATTGATTTCTGTCAACGTGTAGGCCTTATTGATTATATTCTGAACGAAGGATGTGCTCAAGATCACAAAAATTGGAAGCTCGGCACTTCAACTCGCATGGCCGATGGAGGTGTTTGGCGATGCAGCAAATACAAGAGAACAAGAACTATTCGTGCTGGTACATTTTTCTCCAAGTCGAAGCTGAAAATTCGTCAAATCCTCGATCTGATGTATTTCTGGTCCCAACATCTTGACTCACATACGTTTCTTCGGCGCCATTGCAAATTCGCCAGCGAATCAACAATCGTCGACTGGAAAAACTTCATGCGCGATATTTGCGATGAGTACTTTTTAAGGCACCCGGCAGTTATAGGAGGAGTAGGGCACATAGTTGAGATAGATGAGAGTGCTTGGACGAAAAGAAAGTACAATCGAGAACGGGCGGTATCAAATCAGTGGGTCTTTGGTGGCATTGATCGAGATACTCGCGAATGTTTTGCTGTTTTAGTGGACAATTGTCAAGCTACTACTCTTTTGCCGATTATCAATCAATATATTCGTCCTGGTACAACAATCTACAGTGATCAATGGGCATCATACAACAACATCGCAAATGGTCCCAACCAATATATTCATGGAACGGCCAACCACTCGTACAACTTTGTTGATCCCACTACGTTGGTACATACGCAAAACATAGAAAATATGTGGATGTGCATGAAGATAAAGAAGAAAGTTCACATGGGTGAACATACTTCTCTTTTAGATACTCATCTACTTGAGTTTATGTGGCGTCGACGTTTTGGCGAGCGGCCATTTGAGAATCTCGTTCGTTGTATTCAAGAAAATATCCTGTGTAATTTTTTTTTTCATAATAAATTTCTTCTATCATACTTCACGACATCTTTTCATTACGCGCATCGATTGATAGAACGAACGCTCCAATAATTTTTTTTTCCTTTCCTGTCATTGTTTATAACTTATAACGAGGGGTGTGCACATCGTGTAGAAGCATCGATGTCCGTTGTTTGTTTGTGAAGAAAAATGGCGAATTTTTTATTTTAAATTTTCAGATTAATTATTTTTAAAATAATGGCTACTGCTCAACCAGTGTATGTATCTTCATTTTTTTGGATTTTATATTCTCTAATAATATTTTATTTTCTTTCAGATACGATTATTCAACTTATGATTATTCATATGACACAAGTTCAGCAGCTGCTTATTCATCTTATCCAGGATATGAATCAAGTGCACCATATGCAACATCTGCTACATATGATGGCTATGCAACATCAGCAGCATATCCTACGAGTGAACTAATCTAACATATTTTATTTATTTATTAATTTTTATTTTCCTCAGGTGCTTCAACAGGTCAGCCTTATACTACCGTTGATCCATATTCTGGTTATCCAACAACAGCTTATGGTTATCCAACCACAGCTACTACTGCTGGTGCTCCATCATCAACTACTAGTCAAACTGGATATGCATCATCGTATAGTTCATCTCCATCAAATAGTAGCTATGCATATGATTCAAGACGTACTACACCACCACCATCATCGTCATCTTCTGCACCATCAACTCATTATGCTGCTTATGATTATACTTCAAATATTGCTGGTATATAAACAAATTTTGTGAAATATGATCTAAGAAGAATGTTGAAGTTTATAGGTAGAAATTCGAATCCCCCATACAGACTGTAATAGGCGTTATTGATATACGATCAAAGTTGGTATATCAATAATGTTTTGTTGTAATATGTAAAATATTTCCTAGTTACATTTCTGGAGGACTAAGTGAAAGAATGATGAAGAAATATATCCCAAGAAAGATAGAATAAAATAATCTTCCTATTATTAATAACAACAGCTACATCGTGTTCCACATTATAATTCCGAAGAAATCGTGTAAATAATTTTTTCATCTAGGTGCATATGCTGCAACACCTTCATCAAATGCTACTTATTCTCCCTATAAAACAGTTTCAACAACGAATGGTTCATCATCATCAAGTGTTTATTCAACTTATGCTACATCAGCTCCACCACCACATGGAGCTTACAATATTCCACCAGGTAGTCATCTTGCAGGAGCAATGGGACCTCCTCATGTCTATGCAACAGCAGCAACAGATATGATTCCACGTCGATCAGATTATTATGCTGCAAGTCAAGTGCCTCATGCAATGCATTATGTTCATCATCAATCTCAACGAATACCATATCGGTAAGTGAACATAAAATTTGTTTTTTTCTTTTTTTTTGTCTATTATTTTCTTCTATCGTTCTTCTGTTATGTTTTATTTTTCTACGTTTTCGTTTGTGTTCTAATTAATGTTTTGACGAGAGAAGAAAATATCAATAGTGAAGTACAGTTCAATGTGTTGATTGTATTTTATTCTTGATGTAAAATTGTTTATTTTATCAAACGATTTTCTACTTTCTAGGAATCAAAAAAAAAAGGAATTAAGAACAATCACAAAATTTATTTAAATATTCATTTTATTTTTAGGCGGATTTTTAAGAAAAATATTAAAAAAAAATAATTTTGTTATCTTTTTTTTGTGTCTGTTTTTGTTTTGTTTTTGTTCTTTGACAAATTAATTTGACGACAAATGTTGATCTTGTTTGTTCGAATATCTTCTTATGTATTCCAGTTTGCCGCCACGAGGGGGCTATCAACGTGAACTTGATGGTAAGTAAAACAAAACTCTTTATCTTGTTTCGCTAAGCAGTTTATGTTTTGTATTTTGCTTCCATGAGTGAGTGAGTGAGAGAGAGACTTTGGGAAAATCTATAAAATAAAGAGAATTGTTCTACGAATGTATGTTTGTGCGCATGTGTTAACGTTAACTACGTGCATCGTTCTTATATTTTCCACATTTTGTTTATCTGGATCTATGGTGTTGAGACTTTTTGTTGTCGTTAATTTTTGTTTTTCATTTCTATTTGTTTTTTTTCCTGAGTTGTTCAATTTCGTTTATTTTTCATCATTGTTTTTCTATAATGAATTTTAAATAGAACCTGGTGATGAAAATGCTCTTCTACGACATGTTGTGTATATAACTGGCCTACCAAAGGAAATTCAAAATGAAACATTAGCTGAAGTATTTAGTGCCGCATGTGGACCAATTGCACCAGTATGAAAAATTTGTTTTTTTTATTCTGTTGGATAAAGTTTAAAAATATTTATTTTAGGTTGATGTACGTTCACCAAAACCAAAAATTTGGGTTTATAAAGATCGACAAACACGTGAAGGTAAAGGAGAAGCTACAATAACATTCATCAATCCTGAATCATGTCAAATGGCTATCAATTATTTTAATGGTAATTAGTCCATTATCTACTTTTCATCTTGTTTTTTATCGAGTTTCTTTTTGTGAAACACGATCTATAAGGATTGTTGAAGTTTACAAAGTTGCACCCCTGTATTCAGCCCATGATTGATACAACCATAGAAACGTTATAGAACGTTTCTAGAATTTATTCAAATCACATCGAAAATAATTCTTCAATACTTATTTCTTTTTTATTCATTTAATCGACTACTAGCAATTTTCAAGGTCATCTCTGTTGAATTATGTTCTAATTCGAAAGATAATTTGCTTAAAACCATAGAATATTTTACCATAAATTTGAGTTCCGGCCCTGACCCTGCACATCTCTCCTTGTGACAGACATCATAGCAACGTCACCCATATCACAGACTATGGCAAGCATTATTAATTAATATACGGTCAAAGTCCGTATATCGATAACTTCTTGTTATAATATATGAACTACTTCTTCATTTCATTTTCGGAGGATTAGTTAAAAGGATAGTGATAACAGTTTGTTCTTTTTTTATATAGGAAAAGAATTATTCGGACGAGAAATTCGTGTTACATTATGTCCAAGACGTATGTACAGTATGCAAAAACAAAATACACCATTTAATCCTGCTGCACCACCAATGAATACAACTACACCTATTTCTTCTATGATTAAGTCAATATCGACTAATAATAATGCAGTTACAACAACAACAACAACAACAACAATGCCGTCGTCAACATCGACTACAACTGTTACTGTCACTTCACCATCATCAACAATACCAACGACAACGACTGCTTCATCAAATGTTGTTACAGCAGCGAATCCAATAGCAACAATTTCATCGTCAACACTTGGATTACCTCGTCAATTGAATCATTCATTATTTAAATTAAGACAAACACCAGAACAACAACGTGGGCTTTTACCAACACCACCTAATTCTTTGTAAGTGATAAAACAATGAAAATTTTCTAATGACTTATTTTTATTTATTTTAGTGGAGCATCAATAATGACTAATGCACTTCAACGTGATGGTGTTCGAAAAGAATTACCTCGGATTGGTTTGAATAGGTATGTATTATTATATAAAATATATATATATATCTTTAGTTCTTTAATTGATGATTTTATCATTCTAGAGGAAATTCTACCAATCCGGTCGTTACTCGTCCAAAACCCTATTGACATTTTTGTTTTTCAAATCATATCTTTTGTTAGTTTGTTGTGCATTCATTTCTGTGTATGTATCTTTCTTCATATGTTTATGAATATATTGGAAAAAAAAACAAAGCCAAAGAGAATGATATATTCATAGATTTGAAAATTTGTTGATCATCTATGACTAATATTTGTAAAACAAGATGATGCTTAATATTGTATGTATAGCAACTCGAAAATATGATCTTATTTTCACTACGTCAATGTAACTATGAAATCTTTAAAAAGAAATCATAAGAATGTTCCAATAATGCCTAAAAACTGATAAATAAGAATTTCTAAATTATTGGGAAAATATCAATAAAATTGTGATAATCGTTTGACAGAATCAATAATTGCATCCTTCGCAATAGATAAAATGATTCATTTTTTGTTATAAATGTCGCATTAACATATTAGCCTTAAATCTTTTGTTCATCGTTATGAATTTGATAGCAAAAACTACGATGGATACTGTCTTATTTTGATTTTAGCAATCAAGAAACCATGAGGGATTACTGAGGAATTCCGGTTTCTCAGTTCTTGAATACTCCTAAGAACAAATGCATTTTCTCATAAATTGATTAATCTATTAGGATTTCTTTAGAATAATATTCTTCTTTTATTTATTTATTTTTGTTAGAATTACTATGTCTTTTAATGATTAATCGACGAATACTTCAATGTCTTATAATAATCTTTTGTATCAATCAAAAACAGTCCAACTGTTGTATATTCAATCTGAAACATTGTTTTATTTGTTTTCTAGCGATATATTGATCATGTTCAATGATTTGAGTCTGTTGTTACTCTATAGACGTCAAGAGATATACGTAGGTCTCGATGTGGGAGGGGACGGGGTAAGCAAGTTCTTACCACTTTTTATGTCGCGTCTGCGAAAATGTCAAGCTATTACCGAAAAATTGTCTGCCAAATTTTAAGTTTCTTCCACTTATAAAAACGATTAGCTCGGTGAAAGACACCAATGACTGAAAAAAAATGTTGACATTACTCAGCTCCTATCAAATAATTGTTGAAAATTAGAGCCACTGGCATCGGAAGAACAAATATATAATGAAGTTCTTTTTTTTGTCTAATTGTTTATTCATGTGCATTCCACAGATATTTTTTATTTAGGATTTCCTTAGAATTTAGAAAAATTTTTTTAAATCTTGCAAAATTTCAGTCACCATCAATCTCTGATCTATGCATAAGACTACAATTCTGTATATGTTAAATCAAGCATTCATTTTAAAATATATACGCACGTGACAGATATATTTTATTTTGCTCTGCTAATTCCTTCATCGTAAGAAAAATCGTAGAACTTAATTATTCTTCATATTGATTTAAGTGATCAAATTACAAATATTTTGTTTTTCAATATTTCAATTTGTAAGGTCATTTCATTTTCAATCGAATACTATGATATATTGAACTTTAATCCTCAAATCAAGAATAACAATGTTATTAAAAAGGAACTGCTTGTACGCTTTCTTTATTGTCAATACTATCGAAAATAAAGATTAATAAATGGCTATCTAAAGGCTCGATTTTTCACAGGTGTCTAATCTCTTCAGCCTATTCTGTCGATTGTAATAATAAAAGTCGATGTTATTGAATGCTTGAAATCATTTCCCTTTGCAAAAAATTCAGTCAACATAAACATCAACAATGATGCTATTTTCCATTACCATTGCTGTCTTATTTTTTACTACATTTTCCGTTCAAGGTGATGAATATCTTCCAGGTTAGTTTTACTTTTGTTTTAGTTATATCAACGTTGTTTAAAATACATAATTATAGTTCAAAGCGTACGAGCATCTGAAATTTGTTATGGTGAATATGGTTGTTTCACAACAGCAGCACCATTCGGTAAAGAATAATTTTATTTGTTATATAATCAAGTAAACCTCTACTTTCAAATAGGTGGAACATTACAACGACCATTTGCTTTATTGCCTGATCGAGTATGATTGTAAATTTATTCGTTTCATAGTTTATTATTTTCATTTTTCAATAGCCTGGTGTAATTGGAACTACATTCTATCTATATACACGAACAACACGTAGAACTCGTGCGGAAATTAGTCGTTATACAACTCTTGGCACATGGAATGTAACCAAACCAACAAAATTTTTTATTCATGGCTTTGTAGATACTTCTAATGCACCATGGTGGATTGAGTTGAAAAATGCTATACTTGATGTCGTTAGTATTAAATATTGAGAATATTAATATTAGGATATCTATATCTATAAACTTTAGGATGATGTTAATATTATTATGACTGATTGGTCAAAGGGTAATGGATTTCCATATGAAAAAGCTACAGCAAATACTCAAGTAGTTGGTACTGAAATTGCTTTATTTATAAATTATTTGATTGAAAACCATGGTGCTAAAGCTACTGATTTTCATATTATTGGTCATTCACTTGGTGGCCAAACGGCAGGATATGCTGGAGCAAAAGTTCAAGGTTTAGGACGAATTACTGGTAGATATTAAATAAGAAAAGAAAAGAACTTTAAACATAATGTTTTGTTTTCTTCAAAAGGTTTGGATCCTGCTGGTCCTTATTTTGAAAATACTCATCCAAAAGTTCGTCTTGATCCAACTGATGCTTTATTTGTTGATGTCATTCATACTGATGGTGCTCATAATCTTCTTCTTGGACTGGGTAGAATTATTTTGATAGAAAGCTTCTTCTCTTTTTTAAATTCATTGTCATTTGATTTCTACAGGTAGTCTACAACGAATGGGTCACGTCGATTTTTTTCCAAATGGTGGTTATGATCAACCTAAATGTCCTGCAACCTCTGGTAAAATACTAAATCTTGTTGTTCAACTTGGTCAAATGGATATTCAAGGTAATATAACAATCAATAATAATTATTTTCTTTTTAATCATATTGATTCAATAAATAGGTTTCATAGAATCATCACTTTGTAGTCATTTAGTCGCTGTTTATTTCTTTACGGATTCAGTTCGTAATCAATGTCCTTATATTGGTTATTCATGTTCTAATTATGATGATTTTAATGCTGGTAAATGTTCACTTCAATGTGATGGAAATGAACATCAATGTAATCGTATGGGTTATTGGACATCACCAACAGATGCGAAAGGCGATCTTTATTTAAAAACTCAAGATGCTAATGCATTTCCATATTGCAGTTAGTTTTATTTATTTAGTTTTTGTATATATTAAAAATTCATCTTTTGTTTTTTGTTTTAAAGTTTATCATTATCAAATTACACTTGAATCAGGATCAGAATATTCACAAACACGTGGTAAAGTTAGTGTTACACTTATTGGTACACTTCAAACAGTTACTGTTGTTTTTGATAAGTATGTTTATTTAGATATTTATTGAAATTCATAGTTTTGTTTTTAGTGATCAAACAACATTTAAACGTGGTTCAGTACAAACACGTTTAATTCCATTAACAATTGATATTGGTGAAGTTACTGACATTGATATTGATTTTAAGAAAACAAACAATTGGTTTTCATCATCTTGGTATTCATCTTCATGGACATTTACCAAAGCTACTGTATTGAATGGTGATCAACAACAAAGGTATATTATCAATTTATATTTAATAATCAAATAGTATTGTTTTTTTCCTTCATTGTAGTCGTGTATTCTGTCCGAATCAATCGGTCATACAATCTGGATCAACTGTTCGCTTTGCATCGTGCTAATATCCTTCCTTTCTGCTAAAATTTTTTTTTTTTTTTTCGAATAAAGTTATTGTAGTCGGTTATAAGAACAGCAAAATGAGTTTATCAAATGAAAAGATTATGTAGAAATGGAATAGAGCATGCGACTCAAAGACATACGACTTGCTTCACACACAAAAGAACCAATGAAACAATAAAATCGAACTCTCTACATTCATCATAATTTTAATCTATTTTTCTTCTTTTCTTTGGTCGACAACTTTACGAAGCGAATCATAATGAAATTTGTTTTGAATATTTCTATTTTGTTTTCTTTTTCTTAGCTTTTATTCATTTGAATAGAAGTTGATCGCTAGATCTCTGTATGCGTGTTGCATACAATGACCAATGTCATTTCATTGAAACGGAGTTAGTGAACTTCTCATATTACTGGATCAAGTAAAAATAACCTTTTAGTAATACCAGCCATAATTAAAATATCTAACCACTACACTGTTGATCGCCACGAAAAGAGCTGGCTAGTAGCTTCATTTTATCTAAGCTAGACTTATTCGACAATTTACGACGGAGTTTTGTATAAGCTACTAAACAGAATGACGTGCTACCTATTTGAATATTTGAAAGAATTATACGTGAAATTATGAACAGTTTTGGCCCTTCTGTAAAAAAAGGCTGTATTGCCAAAGAATTTTTTATTAAATTTGGCACTAATAAGTGTCAATGGGCTGTCGTTCTTATACATGCAATGAGTTGAACTGAAGAAACTTTTAAAATCCCTATCGTGGATGTGTCGATCAGGAGAACGATAGTCCATAGGTTAATTTTCTTTGACCGAGCGCAGCCCATTCGAAACGCTGTTTCATAACTATGATATTACTGTTAATTAAATTTAAAACGAATAAGTCCATGACGGTCTAAAAATATTAAAAGAATTTCGGTAATCAAGCATAGATTATATTAGAGTGTGTAATTAAAAAAGTACTGCAGAAATGGATGCAGTTGTAAGTGTTATATTGATAGCTGTTCAACAGAAGGTTTCATTGTTACCTACAAAAGTGTCGTGCAAAATGAAAGAAATGTACAGCAAATGGCAATTAATTTTTTCTTTTTATTAACAAATGAAATGAAAATGAGGAAGAAAATGATAAAATTTTTAAATGAATTTATCAATAGTTCAGTTAATGCGCAAGACAGTTCAAATTTATGTAAAATAGATATATCTTTTTTTTACGAGTATATTCAACCACAAAAATTTTAACTTGATCACCACCTCTTTCAATCAAAAACTAAACAGCTACTACCTAGTTCAATCATAGTTGTAATCGATAACGATCAATGGCTGAACTGAATTTTTTTAGTTTTTCCATAAATCAAACATTTGTGTATTAATGTTGGAGACAACTTCTTTGAATTTTACTTTGGGTGAACGACATATTATACCGAAAATCAAGTAAAATTAGTATCATATAGATATCACAATGTCTCTAATGACATTTCAACCAACATTAGATGATGTACTGTTCTTCAAATCATTGTATCTGAAATTATGCACTTTGAATGTGGAATTCCAGAAAGAAAACAAAATTTCGACTGATCAATATAAAGCGATTCACATCTTAATTTTATACTTCACGAATAAATGTTCTTGCTACTAACTGTCTGTTACTTATTAAACATATACCAATAATATACTTCTTGGTAATCATGTCTGCATAAGTTATCCAAGTTCGATAAATGGAACATAAGATGTGCAACAATATTGAACTATTTCGCATTAATTTTCAATGTAATTAAAAAGAATTACAAACTCAGTTGTCTCAAATAAAAGGCAAAAAAAAAGGTTTTTTTTCGCAGTAGATATATGATCATAAAAAACTTAATCATTGACTAAAACTAAATCATCAGATGAAGACATTAGATAAAATCTTCAGCTTTCCATTTTGTTTTTCGTTCAAGTCGTTTTTATAGAATATTCAAGTAGAACATATGCCCAATTTTCTCTATTATCAACATGTCATGATAAAAAAAAATAACAAACTTTTATACACTTCACATTTGATGCTAAAAAGACACCTTCCATTGAATGAACACAATGTGCCAATTTCTTATCATTTATAGAAGTCAACAATAAATGTTGGTATGACCAGTAATGGAAACATTTATCTGTATTAATGGAAAACCATTTATAGGTTCTAGTTGCGATTATTGGTAATCTGTTGAACAAATGAAAAGTCATTTTAATTGATTGTTCGCACAAAAAGTCGATGATTATCAACAATATATCTATATATTGATTAGTTTTATGTATTTTGTTTTATTCAAGATTTATCAAACTATAGAAAGTATTGTGCATTCATATTTCTCAATTAAATAAAATTAGAATTTATTTAGACAAGAAAATTTTTTATTCGAATTGATGAATAACTAAAGTTCAATACATTATTTTGAAATACGACATCATTATATCAAGAGTAAAATATATATGTATATTGAAATAATGATCAATGGTTAGAAAATAGTGTATTCCTTTGTTATAAATTTAACTTTGTTTTTTGGATAATTTTAAAAACTCTTTTGTGATGCTGCTTTAGTTATTTCTTAGTGATTCATTTCATTTTATTCCATGAACCTGATTATGGCTTCGCATATAACACTAATTGAAGTGGAATAAGTTAAATATTATTCTTGATTTCTTCCAGCATGATAAAGTCAATTTCAAACGTTTGTTTTGTTTTCATTATTAACGCTTTATGAACTACATAATTTCGGTTTCTTTTTTCTTTTGTGCTATATGACAATGCATATTTGTACTAAAACTGCACTCAAATATAGTTAAATTATAGAACAGATTCAATTTCTGCTCAATGATTATAAAATTCTTCAGACAATTATCATTGTCAATATATAGCTATATAATCTAAAATGCAAGTTCTTCTTTGAAATATTAAATTAAAAAAATAAAGAGAAAATGTGTCTCGTAATGAAGACTAAAGATTTCTTTTTTTTTTTATTCATTCTAGCTCTAGTCATTTCACGTTGTTGAAAGTAACAGAATATAAAGCTTTCAACAATTGTTGAATATTCTCATTAGTATCAATATCGAATGAGAATGTCCTTTAACAATGATACATTAGTTATTGCAGTGAATTCAATTATTGTTAGTCTTGATCTTGTCAAGCAGCGATTTTTGAGTCAACTTCCACTTATATTCGTCATTCTTGGGTGTATTGGTTTTATCGGAAATGTTTTTACATTTCTTCAACCTACTCTTCGATTCAATACATTTTGCTTCTATTCTCTCTGCGGGTCACTTATTGATATTATTAATCTTTTTCTTGGTCTACTACCTAAGTATGTATATTCAACCTACAACATGTTTTCATTAATAACTGAAAGTCAATTATGTAAATGGAAACTGTTTGGTTTAGTCTTTCTATCTCAATTATCAATGAATTTATTAATTTTATCTTTGATTGATCTTTATGTTTGCACATGTCGTCTAACATCGCCAATGCGTCAATTAAAAATGGTACCTTGGTTAATTGGATTCATAGTTATTATTAGTGGTCTTATGTCACTTTATGCACCTCTTCTTTATGATATCACGCCTGCTTTTACATGTGTTCCTGCACATCCGTTATTAAATGGTGTAATATATATTGTTATTCATGGTCTGATAACGCCATTTATGATGTTTATATTTGTTTGGCTTACTTATCAAAATGTCAAGCGAAGCCGTCAGCGAGTGGTAAATAGATTGTTTTGTTTTCTTTTAGTAAAAATACATAATTGATATGTTAAGGGTATAGTGACAAATACAATTGCATATCGTTCTCGTTATCAATTTATTAGTATGACTTTTGCTCGAGTTATGGTAACAAGTTTCTTTATTTTACAATGGATGAGCATGTATATTTATCATATAGCTACTCAGTACAATAACAAAAGTGCTGAACAATGGTCCATTGATTATTTTACTCTTTTTTTAACAAATACTTTATATTATATTATCAATGTTAAATCATTTTATCTATCAACATTAACATCTCGTCTATTTCGTGAGACATTTATCAAAGGTTTATTCAAATTGACACATAAATTTTCAGCGCAATAACAAAATAAAAGGCGCGTGGAAATTTCTATAAGTTCTATTCACTAAAGCATACTAAATGAAGTCAAGATACAATTTACATATAGTATGCTAGTTCTATTCAAGCTTGGCAGTCTAATTGTCATTTATTCTTTGAATTAAATTGTGAAATTCATTTCTTTTTGTTTGTAGAACTGTCTATTCATTATTCTCCTTATAACTATTATAAAATAAATATGAAAAGAATCTAATGACACATTAAATATAATTACTATATTCTTCGAAGGTCTCGAAAGATATTCTAGATGCTATCTATGAGCAACTATTTATTATACTAAGATAAATCTAAGATATGGAACTATTCTGGTCGAAAAACCAGCACCGTAAACAATTAAAACGATGAAAACCGTCGTCTTGATATTGCCGTTTTTCATAAATCCGTAAAACAGTCTCGTGGATAACGGCGAAATACGATGAAAGTGAATGTAGTAATACATTGTTTCTGCCGGTTGGAATGATCATGGTCCCGGTTATTTTAATTTTTATAGTTTATTTTTATTATTTCAAAGTAACCCTCTGCATACAATTATTACTCGTAAAAGTGTCATGTCTTTTATCAACTTTGTATAGTTGAATGAGAAAGAATCAAAAGTGTCCGGAACGAAGGGATCACTGCCTAATCTTGAAAAATTTCCGCTTTTCTCTAATGAAGTAGTAGCGTGTTTTTTGTTTTGCTCACCAATTCTCAAAGAAACGTCTCACCTCCTCCAGATACTGGCAACCGCGGAGCACTCCTGGAAACAGCTATAATGAATGTTCCATAATAACTGAGGATAAATCGCCAATGACATTTTTTCTACTTTCTCTTAACGTAGAAGGCCTAAATTTTTATTACTTTTATAACTGGCCAAGATCTTTAATTTTCTTAAGTTTCAGCTCTCTAATGAAAGCTAATCCTGAAATATATGGACAAGATTAAAATCTATGAACTTTTGTACTTGACTTTTGTGATATCTTGATCTAATTGGTTAGTGATATTTTTAAACATCTGATGAAAAGAAACTTTACAAGACAAATTTTTTCAAAACGGTACATTATAATAAAATTCAATGTGTATGAACATGCTCTTCATTGCTTCTTATGATCAATTGCAATTGAGTTGTAATCACGTATCAAACACTTTTCCGCGAACTTTTTCGTTCAGTACATCTCACACACGTTTTCGATTCTTCATACATCAGTAAAGTTAGCATTACTATCTACTGGTTCTATACGGTTATTGCATAATTGTGATATGCATCGTGTAGCCAATACTCCATGTTGTTTTAAGAAGATTTAAAGTTCAATATCTACCATTTACAATCTTTTCTATTTTCATAAAAGATTTTAGATATAAATGCATTCCTGTATAGTTATAATAATTCTTAGTCACTCTGTCATAATCGACTACGTAATAAACGTATTACAAAAGTCTAATACAACAATTCTTGTATGTTAATCTTGTTCATACATTTTAGCACTAATTTTAGTTAGAGAGCTGTAACTTCAGAAAATTAAAGATTTTGACTAGAGATATAAAGGGTGTCTCATAATAACTGAGGATAATTTTTTATTCGTATTTTTCATAGTATTACTCGACGTAGAAGGCTGAATTTTTTATCACATATACATCTGATTTAGATCTTTTATTGCTGAAAGTTTCAGCTCTCTACCTATAACTAGTGATAAAATACATCGACAAAACTGAATACACAAATTTTCGTAATCGATTTCTGCATATATGTTCACTTCGAAAATATTTTAAGGTAGTTCTAAGGGTAATCAACCAAAAAATCAGAAAGTATCAAAAAAAATTTCTTTCGTATCAGACTTTGTACAGCTTTTTTCGCTAGTCATGTTGGTAAAAAGACTTTTTGAATTTCATTCAGAAATGACAATGTTATGGTTAAAAAATTAAACACTGTAAAATAGCTTAAAATGTAAGGAAAAATCGATTCATATATATCAGAATGACTATTTTTTGAAGAAATGTGACATAGTAGCTTTGGTAGAGGAAAGTTTCCTCTACAAAATCCTATAGACGGTTTCTCAGATACGGACGAATAGAATGAATAAACCACGATTGAACATTGTATACGATATTTCTATCAAAAAAAATCTGACATCTTCCGTTTTTATGATAAATATTTTGATCATAACATCATCATTTCTCAACAAAATTCAAAAAATTTTTTTATTAAAAGGATCAGCGAAAAAAGCTCTACAAAGTCTTATGCGGAAGAAAATTTTTGAATACTTTGTGAGTTTTTGGTTGGCTATGCATGGAACTACCCTGCGAAATCGATTACGAAAATTTATGTATTCAGTTTTGTCGATGTATTTTACCACTACTTATAGCTAGAGAGCTGAAACTTGCAGCAATAAAAGATCTAAATCAGATGTATATGTGATAAAAATTTCAGCCTTCTACATCGAGTAAAACTATGAAAAATACGAATAAAAAATTATCCTCAGTTATTATGGGACACCCTTTATATGATAAAAATTTCAACTTTCTACATTATGAAGAACTATGAAAAATGTTGTTGACCATTTGTTCTCAGTTATAATGGGACATTCTTTAGAGAGGTGAAGAAGTCAACTTTGAATGTCCACATCAAATATGAAGCATTCACTCGATTACTAGTGACATCTATTAAAAATTAAAAACAACTGAATAACACTCTTAAAATTAATAAATTTAACTCTTAAAATAAAACTTAAATAATAATAAAAATTCATAATAATAAAAAACGACAATAGACAACGATAGGTTGACAAATAAAAATTGCTGGGGTTTGTTCTGTTCTTTTTTTTTCCTTCTTTCTTTCTCTATGACTGATTTTGTTTACTTTCTTTGTCATCGTTAAACTTCATTCTCGTTCTATCGTTCATGGTTAATATGATCCCATTATTTTGGTGATCGATAAAACGATGAAGATCCTCGGAATGTCATCAGCAGAGAAACAGACAAAAAAAAAACAAAATACTATCAATAATATTAATAACTTTTCCTATGAAGAGAAAGAAGAACAAAAAGATATTTTCGTCTACTAATGATCGATCATAGAATTTTCATCTTTCACATTCTGCATTGATAATATACATTTAGACATTTCCCTAAGGATCTTCTATATTCACATATTTCCTTCTTCGTAGACCTTTGACGATAATTTCAAGCTTTTTTTTCATCATATCAAAACTGTCTTTTCTATAATTTAGATGGAACTTATATGATTGTCAACATGCCTGTTCGGAAACAAGGTAAAATAATAAAAGAAAGAAAACATTTTTCTTTTTATATTTATCGTTTAATTAGACGCTTATCGAGCACTAGAATTGCTCGAAGAATATTATAACCGTCTTGATTCACCAGAAGATAAACCATTAAAAAATGCCATAGATAGGTAATAAGAAAAATTTCCTTTTAATAAACCGAAAAAAAAAACACCAACAATGATTTTCATTCGTTTTAGAGTTATTAAAGTTTTTAAAAGTCGACTTTTCCAAGCACTACTTGGTAAATAAATTTTCTTGATTAGTTTAACTAGAAAGAAAACTGTATTGATTGTTTCGTTTTTTTTTATATTTAATAGATATCCAAGAATTTTATGAATCAATATTACTTGATGAACAACGTGACCGTACAGCTAAAATGGATGCAACACTTCATTTAGCTGAAGAATGGGAAAAACAACCAATGCTTAAACGAAATATACGAGTAAAGATTTTCTTTAATAGATTAATAACAGAATCAGATTTCGATTAGCATTTATAAAATCAGCATAATTTATTCTAAGTTAAAAATGAAGAATTAAGATCTAACAATATTTGACATGATCCGAAACAGAACGGAAATGATTGGTCACGATGAACTTTCAAGCACAAAAATAGACATTGAACTTCAAGGTTTCTTTTTTGATTAACATGCACTACTCACGGATTAATTTTTGTTTTCGTTTTTCTGATATTCATGAACCTAGGCAGAGAACCATTATTATCGACAGTTTTTCTTACTTTATAAATCAACGGAAAAAAAACATTTTCGTCTTGATCTTAAGTCCAACCCCCCGAAAAACTAAACGATAGTTAATAACACTTAAGATCTTTTTACGATCTATTCTACCATTTATCTATGATAGAGATTAATCGGATTTAGTGCTGGTTGCAAGTAACATAAGAAGAAAACCAAAGCTCACAAAAAAAGAACAGAGATAACATGAGTTATGAGTGAAAGCTTACAAAGTCAAACTACCTGAGAATGCGAACAGCATACATTGAGGCACGTAGCACAGAACAGGATTGTACAAATATAGTATTTTCGAGATGATGCTATTATTCTACATCCAATATGTTAGTCATTCCACTATCTCCTTGCATAGCTTGAAAGACTACACTATTTGCTAGATGTTTGAGGTCAACTCAAAAGTAGAAGTATTACCTTTACAGCTTTAAAAATGCGAGACAATATAAAGACGTTTGAATTTAACTAAAATGTTCATGATATTAGTGTTCAATTAGCAAAAAAACTTCTCCATTTTTTTTTTGTTTAACGTAGAATGGTACACCAACAATCGAATCACCAATGATAGTACCCATAGCTACAAATAATACAATGCCTCGACCAACGAATATCAAAGAAAATAGTAAACGACAAGCAACACCAACAATACTCTCTCCAATGACTGATATACCTGATGGAATTCAGAATAATCGTCCAGATACATCAGCATTAAATTCACCTACAGATATAACACAATTTAATTATGATGATCATTGGCAAGAAATTGAAATTGATCTTGAACGAGTAAATAAATCATTTAAACAACAAAAAAGGGAATTTTTTGTAATTTTTAATTTTATTTAAGCCACCTGGTGTTGGTCTTGGATTTTCAATTGCTGGTGGAACCGATACACCTTGTATTAGTGATTCTCCAGCTGTTGTTGTAACACGTATTACTGAAGGTGGTCTTGCTGATCGTGATCAACGATTAAAGTATGATAAATAAACTTTTATAGTTATGAAACAGACAAAAAAAGAAGACATGTTTGTGTTTTTTCGTTTAGACTTCATGACATTATTTTACGTGTTAATAGTATGGATTTCACTCATATAGAACATCAAGCAGCTGTTGATGGACTTAAAGCAGCTGGTAATCATGTTAATTTAGTAAGTTTATTAGTAGTTTTTCTTATTAGATATATTACAAAAATATTTTGTTTATTTTTCTTAGTTAATTCGTCGATTAGCGCCACCTATTATGGAAGAGATTCAATTAAATAAGCCATCAAATGCACATTTAGGTTTTTCCATTGCTGGTGGTATTAGTCATGAACATGTTAAAGGGTTTGATGATTTTTTAATTAAAGAATTTCACTATCATTTCTTTTTTTTTTACTTTTGTAGAGATTATGGTATATTTATAACAAATATAATTCCAGGTGGAATTGCTGATAAAAATGGACGTTTAAAAGTTGGTGATCGTCTTATGCATGTACAATCATTAGTAAGAAATATATTGTTGAATTTTAATTTGAAATAAAATTTCGTATCTAAATAGAAAAATGGTTATGATTTACAATTTGTTGAACATAAACATGCTGTTGAATCAATTCGACGTGCATGTGATGAAAGTCAAACAATAACTTTATTAGTTGGTCATCCAACAGATTATCCAGGTATAACAGATACAACAATCCAACCTACAAATGGACATCGTTCACCAATACAAAATGAAGAACAAGGAGATTTTCCATTGTAAAATATCATGGAAATAATATTAAAAAGTTTATAATTACGTTATTTTTTCTTTAGGGAACGTCGTGTTTTACTTCGTCGTAGTCAGAATGGTTTTGGTTTTAATATTGTTGGTGGTGATGGAGAAGAAGGTATGTTATATTAATCCTAAAAGAAAATAACAACTGTCTGTCATTTGTCATCTATCAACACTGAGATAAATATTGACAGAATGTCAGAAGTTACAATTCGATTGACGATAGAATTTCTCCAACTGATAAATTGCTTATAAGTCGAGATAATGTGCACTATACACACTCAAATGAAATACGAATACTCTGAAAAGAGATAGGATATTTTACTTACTGCTATAAAAATACTGAATTTTTTAACGGATTATCGTGATCTTCCCGTCAGGAATAGGCGTGTTAATTTATAAGGTAAATATAAATACAATCTTTATATTTATAAATTTAAAGAATAAAGACAGATTTCTTTCTGTGATGAGCAAATAGACAAATATCTAATATACCAATAGGATATATTAATCAATATTCTTTCTTTTCAACAAGATTACTTCAATATATGATATTATTAAAAAATGAAGTTTATATTCGTGAAACAAATGTATGGAAAAAAAACTTTTCTGTATATTTTATTTATATCTATGATAGAAATTTCTTTATCACTTTTTTTAACTTTATTTTTGAAAATAAAGGTTAAAGCTCTTGATAGTTTTGATAAGTTAAAAATTTGACAAACAGTCGAAGGTTCTCTGCTTGATAGAAAGTGACTCAGAAAATTTGCCTTATTAAACTTGGCAGTAAAGCTCCTCGAATTGGTTTGGGTCTCAAGAAAAAAGGTTCTCTAAACTGAGTTTGAGTCCAAAAGTTTCGAATTCAACGAACTGTAAACACTTTTTCGACAACAGCTAAAACTTCTCACAGATAAGACGTCAAAAGTGAAGGAAGCTAATCCATCACAGTCTCTCCCATATTGACATTTATTTTGCATAAAAAACAGTCTTTAATGAAAATAGATTTTTATGACCAGCAGATTTTGTGGAATTCATATATTTTTGAAGAAAAGAGTGTATGTAAGTTTTAAGTGAAAATTTTGCGGCTCCTCCATATTACAGATCTTAGCAATAAGAATTAAAAGTCATTGAATACATCTCTGTTGCAGCCACATGTATAAGTCAATTATTATAATATTACTCTCAATTGTAGTTATGCAAGCAAAAATGATAGATTTGCATAGCTAACAACATTGATTGAAATTTTAATATCAAATAGAGAAGCAAACAAAGAAAAGAATGCAAAATTAACATACCAATATATGCATTAATAAATTATAAAGCAATGCTTGTTTTTCCTTATCGTTATTAGTGCTTCAATATATAGATATGTGTAGCTGATTCAATGCGTGAGAAATATCGTTATAGTCATTTATTAGTTCATCCATTTTGACTGTTGTGGTATATATTTTTTTTCTTTGTCATAAACTAATCGATGTTATATGTAGTTTTTATACGCTAAAAAACTCAAACAATTTAATCATATTGAAAATGATTTTAAAAAAAGAACATCGTATAAATCTTTCATTTCAGACTTTAAACTATATTTCGTTACATAAAAAAAATCATGTACTAATTATTTGCTAGCTTATACGGAATATATATGAGTTCTATATTTCAGTCACCAAAGGGTTGCGCGCTAACAAACTTTGATGTTCTTATTTCAATTTAGAAGTAAATCAAAAGATCTGATAACTCTTAGAATAAACTAATTTTGTTAAGATCTTTTTCTGTATAAATTTTCAAGTCGAAAAATGTTGTTACTTGAGAGGGATCAAGTCATTCATTTAAAAAATGCAACAGGTCGGTCTTAATAAGCTAAGGACACGAACTCTCTTCAAGATATTCATTGCTCATTTGAATCTAAATAATGCGCATATTTTCGATTGAAAATTGATTTATCAGTTGAAGGACTTCCCTGGTGAGACATCGATCAAGAAACTAAACTTAAGATAGTCTTGTAATCAAACTTTTAGATGAGAAGTGACTCTTTCGGATAGGAAATACTGTCATCAATAATAAAAGAAACTTCTGTACGATTTATTCAATGAATATTTCAATAGATTAAGACAGGAAAAGGAAGAACTCATGTCGCTTTTTCTGAATACTCTGAAAATCTAGGCAATTGTTTGATTTGTTTTTCTACTCTCTTTTGAGAATAAGAGCTTTTAACATGAAAAAAACAAGAGTCTCCATAGATTTTCTCGAATCATAAGATATATATATATATATATTCTCTATTTTTTCTTCCTTATCAAGGCATTTATATATCATTTATACAAGCGGGTGGTATTGCTGATAAATCTGGTGAATTGCATAAAGGAGATCGTATATTATCAGTTAATAATATTGATTTTCGTGGTGTAACTCACGAAGAGGCAGCAGCGGTGCTGAAAAATTGTGGTGATACAGCTGATTTACATGTTATTTATAAATATGATGGTTTGCTGAAATAGATGATTAACTTTTTTTAATTCGAGTTTATTTTTATTTATAGATTTTATTCGATTTGAAAATCGTATTGATGAACGTCGAAGTAAAATGACAGGTGAAATAGCTGGTAGTACAGGTAGTTTAAAAACATCAACAAAACGACAATTTTTTGTTCGGTAAATATTTTTGTTTTGTTTTGTTTTTTTGAACAAAAGAAAATTAAAATCTTCTTGTTTCTTTTTTAGTGCGGAATTTGATTATGATCCTTCAAAAGATCCAAGTATACCAGGTGATCGTGGTTTATCATTTCGTGCAGGTGATATTCTTTATGTAACAAATGCAGCTGATGATTCATGGTGGCAAGCTAAACGTATAACTGATGGACAAGAAGAAGAAGAATTAGGAATAATTCCATCGAAATCAAGAGTCGAAAAAAAAGAACGTGCTAGACAAAAACGTGTCAATTTTAATCAAGGAAGTAATAGTCGAGTAAGGGATCATTTTAAATAATTATATCTATTTCAAATGTTCTTTAATTTGTTTTTATTTGTTCTAAAGAGTAATACACTTGATCGAGACAAAAAGAAAAAGAAAAAATTTGGTTTATTTGGAAAAAGTGGAGATAGAAAAGATACACAATCAGGTGATGATTCAGATAATGAACAAGATAATCTGGAACCTGTACCATCATATGAAATGGTTACTCAACATGAAGGTAAATATTTGATAGAAATTAACTTGGACAAGAAAAAAACAACACAATGACTTGCCTGCTAATAAACCGGATAGAAATTTTATTACAGGAAATCAAAGTTCCTTTTTACACAAGAAATCAAACATTCAGTTTTATTTCCTAGTATTAAGATAGAGGTTCAGAGTACCACAGCCTCCACGTTTCGTGACCCAACATTTCGGAATTTTTCATGGTCACTGTATAGTCGTATACAAAAATTTTCTTTAAAAAGAAAGAAAAGTAGAATTCACTATTTAACTCGCACGTTCGAAAAAATCGAGAGAGAAATCGATTTATATTAACACACAAAAAGGTCATATAAAATACTAATCTTAAGCTGTTTCGTTACTTTCTATTAATAAATAAACCAGACAAGCTGTGTACGCAGATTACTACAACAGAAATATTTCTTTAGTCGAATTCCCAAATGAAAATTCTTTTTTACCATTCAATAATTTTCTAAAATGTCTTCGAACTTAAAACATTTTCCTCAATGCGCGTTAACATACATTAGGCAGATTCTGTACACCTGATTATTCGATTATCTATTCTGTCTTTTTTTGTGTTAAAATATATTTTCAAAGCTCGAAATATGTAATGAATATATATATATTTATTTAAAGTCTATTTCTCACTATTCGATTCTGCTCGAGGGATATAAAAATAATAATCGATCATTGTTTATACTTGTCGATGCGGGATTTAACTTTATCAAAGAGAGAACTGGTGACCCCTCTCAAGAATAAATATGCTATAATGTTCAATCATGAAACCTTATATCACGCCTCAAAAAGTGATGTTCTATTGCAGACTAGATTTTTGCGAAGAGTTACTTGAAAAGCAAGGGTTTTTACTAGAAAAAAAACACATTTTCACTAGAGAATAAAAAGAATAATTTTAATTTAAAAAAAAAATGTTTTTTAGATGCTAAAACCAAAAAAACGTTCGCCGGATTTCGGAAAAAGCTTTTAGAAAATCCTTGGTCTTCTATCCTAAGAGTAGTGTTTTGCACCCGATCTGACAATTAACGAGATTTCGACGTTTCAAAATACTTTTGATTTCTCCAAACTGCTACTTATATAAAAGCATAGAAGTGAAAACCCGAGCAATTTATTGTACTTGAGAATAGGTCACAATAGTGGAAAATAATATTGTTTTTCCTAAAAGAATTCGTTTTTAATGAAAATTCGTCTACAGATGATGATGAACCATATGCCGAAGTAACTGAATATATGAAGAGAAAAATGAATTATCAGAAAGTTGAATATGTGTGATCATGATGGAAATAACATTTATATATGCATCCACATTTATGATGTTTGACACCAACATTATGCATCATTCCAGTATTATTAGTGACAAGCAAACGTATACTTAGCGAAATTAATCGAATTTCAGAAGCAGAAAACACCAAGTGAATTCGAGATGATCTCTTTTCATGGAAGATACTAAATAATGTTTTTTCTTATACAATATAAAAGTTTGAAAACCATACTGTGACTCTCACAGTATCTGTCGAATGTCGATAAGCTTCTATTGGATACTGTACAGTTATTCGGATCTGGTAGCGAAAAGCTGCATCTGTGCAGGACATTATCAGCTTTCAGTGGAACTTATTTACTTTGTCTATTCTATTTGACATTAGTGTGATCATTTTTTTAATGATTTTAATTGGACAATTTTACATGATTAGTTATATTCAAATCTTGCTATTGTGATCAGTTACTCAAGATTTAAGAATCGAGTGAATTTAATTTCTTGGATAACAGAAATGAATTTATTACGAATATGATTAATCTGCCCTATCCTGATTGATATCAAATGAAAGTTTTCATTTGTAATTGTCTTTTAAACAAAAATATTTCACTTTTTAGTAAATCATACAAGACCAATTATCATCTTTGGTCCATTTAAAGAACTTCTTAATGATCAACTTCTCAATGATCATCCAGATAAATTTGCTAATTGTGTACCTCGTATGTATTTATAGAATTTTAATAATTTACAGAAAAAAACTAGAAACGAAAGATTCCTCCTTTTTTCCCCAAGATACAAGTCGACCTAAACGTGAAAAAGAAGTTGATGGACGTGAATATTATTTTGTTCCATCACGTGAACAAATGGAAAGAGATATACAAAATTATTTATTCATTGAAGCTGGAGAATATGGTGGAAATCTTTATGGTACAAGTGTTAGTGCTGTTCGAGAAGTTGCTAATGCTGTAAGTTATTTAATTAATGTAAGAAATGGAATAATATTTTCTTTAATTTTAGTCTAAACATTGTATTTTGGATGTAAGTGGTCATGCTATACGACGTTTAATTACAGCTGGTCTTTTTCCAATTGCTGTTTATGTTAAACCACGTGATGTTAAATGGATTTTGTAAGTCAAAAATTTGAATTTTTTCATTCTATGAAAATATTCTTTAATAGAGATAATATGGGAGAAGAAGCAAATGAAGAACGTGCTCAACAAATGTATGAAAAAGCAATAAAAATTGAACAACAATTTGGCGATCTTCTTACAAGTATATCAAACGATTTGATTTAAATTTAAATAAAAAAAAATATGTTATTTTTGTTTATAGCTGTTGTTGAAGAAGAAACATTAAGTGATGTATATGATCATATATGCGCAGTTATTGATCGTGAACAATCACTTGAATATGTATGGATACCATCAAAAGAAAAACTCTAATGTAAATTTTCATTTTTTCTACTGATTTCTAAAAATCGTTTCTTTTTTTTTTTTTGTCTCATCGGAATAAAACATTTTTTTTTTGTGCACCGATCTTGATCTGCTATATTCATTATGTAGATGTATCTTTTTCTCTTTCACATTTATTTGTCTGCACCGTGTAATCTCTTTTTTCTTATAGTATTTTCTTGTTGAATTTGATCTATATTTGCGACAAAATGCAAAGCTGTTTTTTTTTTCTTTTGTTTGTTTGTTTATGTGTGTGTTGAAAGCGAATGTCAACTTTAAAGAAAAATGATTAGATTATTATGAACGTGTTCTTTTTCGCGCTCTCTCTCTCTCTCTCTCTTTTGTGGAAAATTAACATTTCGAATGAATGGTTTTTTTCTCTCTTGAATAATATGAAAAAAAAAATGAAAGTTTGGTAGTAAAGAGGAATTAAATAAGTAGCATAAAAATATTCAATTTGTTTTTATTGATATTATATGTAGATGTATCGATTGAAAACAGTTTTTTCTCGGCATTTATCCTTGTTTCAACGAGGATCAGTTATATCGAATATTGGAAGATATCAATCGATAAATCATACGTGTAATGGTGAGCTTGGATTAGAAATAATTTTTTTTTTATTAACTTTTTAAAATTTTGAATAGTCGATGATGCTCTTGATGAAGAGCAAAAAGCTATTCAACAAACAGCCTATCAATTCGCGCAAACTGAAATGGCACCTTTTATGTACGAATGGGATCGAACAGTGAGAAGATTTTTATGTTTATTAACATATATCTTTTGAAATATGGAAATTCAGGAATATTTTCCAAAAGATACCCTTCGTAAAGCAGCTCAACTTGGTTTTGGTGCAATTTATTGTCGAGATGAACATGGTGGAACCGGTGGAACACGACTTGATGCATCAATTATTTTCGAAGCATTGTCACAGGGTTGTGTTAGTACAGCAGCTTATCTCAGCATACATAAGTATGCAAAAAATATTAAATTAATTCCTTTTTATTATGAGAGTATTTTTTAGTATGTGTACATGGATGATTGATGCATTTGGATCTGATGCAAATCGTGCAAGGTGGATACCCGGATTAGCTACTATGGAATTATTCAGTTCTTATTGTCTTACAGAACCTGGTTTGTATATTTGCATGTTCTTATTTTTTCGATATAGGATGCAAATTAATGAAAACTAGTCATTAAACATGTATTGAAAATATAATGTTGTTAATTCAATAGATGTGCTATAGGACTATAATTGTGGGTCTAGTTATGATATGACAGCTGGCTTTTAATGATATCTATCATTAGTAGTGCTCGGCGGGATTGCTGCAATCGTGACCCTGACCATGACTAGAATTGCGTTACGGGTACTAATGTATTCACATATCCTGTGTTTGTGTTGACTACATTAGCTTTTCCACAACACAAGTAATGTTATATTCTTACCTTATAGCGATAGTTTATCCTTTTTTTCCCGAACCAAAACAACTAAACATAAGTTTTCACAGACGAAATTAGAACTGACAAAAAATTAAGCTTTTCCTAGAACAAACGACAATTGAAAATCAAAATCAAGTGAAATTTTAAGTTTCCTTAAATTCTAATAATTTCTGCTGCACAAACATCACAATAAGCATAAAACCTAATAATGTAGGTAAACAAAAAGATATGTATATGTTACTATTTCATTGAGGCGAATCAAATTAGTTAAGAATATGGTTTTCTTCTTCTTGATTCATAATCTCATCATTTTTATTTGTTTTTACTGTTATCTAACTTTTGTCATAATAAATATCGTTCAAGTAAAGAGATCATCACTTGTGATAAACTAGAAAAAATGACCGTGATCAACGTGAACGTGATAGAGAACGACACACAATGTTTTTCTTCTTTCGAACAGGACACATCTTGCCGGATAATCTTTTCATTGCTTTTATGACAAGGATATTAAATTTGTCTGTATATGAAGCGCGATGCCAAATATCATAGACCCTTTATCGATATAAAAATCATTTACAATAATCATGCTAATAAGCCTTATCATATGTTTTCCAGTAGAAATGAAATAAGACATAAAAAATAGATTAGACATCCAAAATGTCAGAAAAGCAATTATAAACACAAACATAAAGATACTGGATTCAAAGTTTAATCAATACCAACAGGCGGACAACAAGAATGGATAAGTTTTCTTTTTTGTTACTTTTTCTTGAATTTCTCATAAGAATGAAAAAAAAAATATTGTAAATTGGACTTGGTGATTAACCTATTCATCTTTGAGTAAATATCAATCCAGTTGAGCTAAATAATCTTTCCGCCAAAGTACTAGTTCACTGATATAGCATGTACTCTTCTGGCTACTGCTGCTAATAATAGAATGACACGACGATTTTCACTAATGGACCAGAACTTCATCGGATCAGAATCAATTAGGTGATTTAGATGTCCTGAATGCCCTATATCCGAAAAAAAAAACATTGCCCTGTTCCTGTATATGCAAGACCAGTGTAGGACAAAATAGATCATCTGCAGGGCATTCGTTCTGTGCCGTTTTGTAAACCATGACTGAGTTTATTGGTCACACCGAGCACTGATCATTACATATAATTCTTGTAGAACATTGCTAGTAAATAATTTGCCATTAAGTAGAGCTGAGTAACAGCTCATAGTGAAAAGTGTGACGTCCACTTTCGGAAACCAACATTCACATATCGTAGATATAGAGGAAACCTTTAACAGGAGATTAGACTCTTATATTTATTGACATATAAATTTTCTGACTATGTTTAGGAGCTGGAAGTGATGCTGCTTCGTTAAGCACACGAGCTGAACGTAAGGGTGATAAATATATTTTAAATGGTACTAAAGCATTTATTAGTGGTGGTGGTGAAAGTGATATCTATCTTGTTATGTGTCGAACTGGTGATCAAACACCAAAAGGTATATCATGTATACTTGTTGAAAAAGATACACCAGGATTATCATTTGGAAAAAAAGAAGAAAAAGTAAGTTGTTTTTATTTTTATTTTTATGTACATATTCAGTGAAATAGCTTTCTCGTAGATTGGATGGAATTCTCAACCAACAAGACAAGTAATTATGGATGATTGTGAAGTACCTGTTCAAAATTTGATTGGAAAAGAAGGTCAAGGTTTTGAAATAGCTATGCGTGGTTTAAATGGTGGTCGAATTAATATTGGTAACAAAAGAAAATAGTTTGAATAAAATATTTATTTTATTGAAATCATTTCAGCTAGTTGTTCACTTGGTGCAGCACAAGCAAGTATACAAAAAACTAGTGAATATTTAAAAGTACGAAAACAATTTGGTCAATCTCTCGAACAATTTCAGGTAGAAATTTATAGTTTCGTTTTTTAATACTAATGATTAAATATGGTTTATTTATTTTTCAAGCATTTACGATTTAAATTAGCAGAAATGTTTACAAAATTAGTTGCAAGTCGATTATTAGTACGAAAAGCTGCTTTAGCTCTTGATCAAAATGCAAAAGATACTGTAACTTTATGTGCTATGGCTAAATTGTTTGCTACAGATACATGTTTTGATGTAAGTATTGAAATGCATTATTACTTGTACTGATGTTAAATATGTTGTATATGTCGCATTGTGCGACAAAACGTACGATGCATTAACCCTTTCGTTCCGGGGCCCGTATATATACAGACTGAATTTTTATGCAAATTATATTGAATAAAATCTTCTCTCTTTCCCTTATGACTTTAGTATCACAGCATGATCATATGATATCATTGTGAATGTATGTCAAATGCAAACGAAGGAGTTATGAAATTAGGAGTCTATGAGAAATCCTAGGCTTTCTATATCCAAGATCGTTCACAACTTTGTGAAATCGGATAGATGTTCGTAAAACTGCGTATAATTCTAAAACGATTGTTGCTATAGCAAATTGCGCTTATTGCTGAAGCTTTTATCTTACAGAAGATCAAACATTCAACGTTATTATATCTATATTATGATATGAAACTATAGAGTTATTCACGGAGATATATGAAGGATTTTGTAAGGTTTTGGGAAACTCTACAAGTATTGAATCGTATAGTGTTGGTTGAAGCCTAACAGAATTTGCTACTTTGTCTTGACGTACATTACTCGATTTCCAGTTTCTACGAGCAACCTGTTTTTTTTTGTGTTATCATTGCAAAACTCAGAAACCAAAGAGTTACACTGTAACACCACGTGTTCACTACTACATATTTTTCCGAGTCGAAGTTGAAACTAGACTAGTCAGTTCCTTGATCATCAATCAGGTCCAGTTAAAGTCTAAAAACTGACTAGTTTTGGCCAGGTTTTTGTCAATTGTTGAGGTCACTGAAGCTAGCCTATTTTGCTCGTTTTTATCAATTTCCATCACTTTAAACATCAAAAAGTATGAGCTTGAAAGCCTCTCACTGACAAATTTCTGATCATCATCAAAATGCCACCACACGGGTTTCTGTAGTAAGATAAACCTCTTGGATTATGCTAAATGAATTTATTATGAGCACGAAAAGTTAACCAACAACCAGCAGTTAAATTTAGACTAAATGAAAGATTTTTCATTTCGAAATTTCGAGTTAACCTTTCTGGACTACTTTTAAATGACTGTTAGAAACTTCCCATGGTTAGTGGTTTTCAGTTTATCTTTTCGATTCAAAAATATGAGAAAAAATGATGTTCTATTAAGAAAGCAATGCCAAGCAACTGTAAAGATATTTAAATATTAAGAAACCTAAACATATAAAATTTAATATAAACCGTACTTTATGACTAATTCTATTTACGAACTGAAAAACCTTTGGTCGTGCTTAATAGTGATGTCAAGCAACAATAGATCATATTTATCAACATAGATGTTGTTCAATATCTGTTGTTGTGAACTACTAGATGAAAAATTTTAAACGAATTCTTCCTTCGTTTTTTAATATTAGCGTCTATGAAACATGATTGGCTAAAATAAAAATTGTTACTTTTAGAAACTCCAAGAGTTATATGAGTTTTATATTGTATGCTTTCGTGAAACTGTACTGATAAACCTTTCTCGAAAGAACTAGTTGGTTAATTGGTACATAAAAAAGATAGTTTTTTCGTCGGTTTAATATTGTATTTCAACTGTTCGAATCGGTCGAAAAAAATGTTTATCAATTTCAAGTATGTTCCAAGCAAACTTGCGACATATTTTTAGAACATAATTCGAATATAGTCTTCAATGCATGTGTCATTATTTTTTCCTGTGAAAATACACAATTACTACTTGTTTTTAGTTGAATTCCACTTTCTCATACCTATTGCTACAGTCAAAGATAGAAAGATGTTAAAATCTAGACGCCATGAATGAGTTTAATCTCTTTCAGATCGAGAGTCCGTCAGATCCAAAATTTCTCGACTCAAACCGTACTCCTAATTTCAACGAAATTTTTCAGTCTCAGTCTTCAAGTCACATCGAAGATACGAGATATTTTTTATCGATTATTTGTATTCTGCTACTGGCACACTCGATAAATTTCTCAGATAATCTTGATGATGATCTTATTAATAATCAAGTCATAATTGACTATTACTTTGACAGAATCATCCTTTGGGTTAATTCCAAATCCGAGTGGGTCTGATGCGGAAGCTAATCAACGGGGTCTATTCAAACTACTTCGGAAAGTTTTATTCATAATCATTGATTGATTGATCTCTTAGAATGTTGTCGAATAAAGCCTTATCGCAATCTTATCTTAACAGAAAGACATCCGAACATGTGTTCAGTTCAGTATGCTCAACTGAATATGCTATATGCACTTGTATAAATAAATCACAACGATTAATGAATGCTTAGCAAATAGGCCAACAAGAAATCTGTAATAGAACAGATAAATAGAACATATTTTATTTTGTTTGCTTTAACTAGAATAATTTCTTTTAGATATGTAATCAAGCATTACAAATGCATGGTGGTTATGGATATATAAAATCAACTTCCGTTCAACAATATATGCGTGATTGTCGTGTCCATCAAATTCTTGAAGGTTAATTAAAATATGAAATTTATGATTTAATTATTTTTATTCTTTTTTTTTGTAGGCACAAATGAAGTGATGCGTTTAATAATTTCCCGAGAAGCATTAAAACGATATGGATGAGATTAACTATTTTTTTTCTTTTTTTGCTTACTATGTGACTTTATTATAATAGAATGAAAAAAAAAGAAATATTTAAATTGAAATAGTTGAGAAACATCAATTTTGTCGAATAGAAAAAACGTCGATCGAAATTTGTCGATTCGACAAATTTTATTAAAAAATGTCGATCGTTGTATTGTTAAGCTTCCTTTCAATGAACTTCAAATTCAATTATAATCGCCTAAAATCTAACTTGAAATCAAATTGAAATCATGTTGAAATCAAGCAGAAGTCTGGTCAAATCATGCAAAAGAAAGCCTAAATTTTTAATTCTTTATTGAACAAGAAGAAAAATAATAGAACATATGAAATAATGTTTTACTTTTTACAGCAACAATGTAGAAGAAAAAGGAACAAAGTAGTTTTTCGTATGATTAAAGGATAACAAAAAGAGACAAAGTATTTTTCACACAGTGAAGCGCTACAAATGAAAGACACAAAGTAATATCTATTTACATATCTTAATCTTGCCTAAAGCAGTGGCATTGGACACATCTGACATTGATGATCATTCATGTGCGACCGTTCCTCTTTGATGGTAGTTCTTGGGATAATACTCCCAATTGTCGTAATTCTCTAGGAATCTTTGGACTCTGCTGTTGTGCTGGAGATTTTAATGGTCCACTTTCTTTCTCGTTTGCATCATTTATCAGTTTTGGTGTTGATGAGTTCAGGCGTACAGAGACACTTTGAATTATATGTTGACGTACAGCATAAATCCTTTTTTTACTAATGTCGTATTGACCCATACGAGCATAGACCGATTTTGCATCAATGCAATGACTATGCTTTTTTCAAGGAATGGATATATGTTTATGCCAACAATTGAATTTTCTGTTCTCTTCTCAAAATCACGTATGCACCTAAAATATAATTTAAGAGCACTATTATGCAAGAGAAAAACGAGTTTTATTCTGAAACCTTACTAGTTCTTTTTGCATTTTTCGCAATAACAATCAACTCATGATCTGTCGAGTTCAACGAATCACGCCGTATGTGATAGCGACGATTTTGTCCATTACTTGGTGAAAAAGACAAGAGCACTGAACTATGATTGTTTTCAAATCCTTTTGTAATGAAGTCATGAATGTTAAATTGAATTTTTCGATTCACTGCAGAATACGGTTGTTCATATTCTTTTAGATTCAAGATATCGTGGCACAATGTATCTATATGTACACAAGGTATTTAAAACCTACAGATTGATGTAAATAGATATGGCAACTCACTGAAACTTCTATGGATGTCGTATGAGACAAGAAATCGGTTTGTCATCGTTAACAATCGATTAACCTGATGAATGATAAGTGATGAATCAAAAAATAAACCAAATCAGTAAATCTATAATAAGTATAAAACAAAACAAACTATCGCTTGGTTGTTGTATAACAGTTTATTCCTTTGTCTACTTAACTATTGTTTTCTCTTCGTTTTCATTCGTCGTCTTGTGAAGTTATCGGATTATTTTCTTTTCTTTCTCATTATTTGCCTCTTGATTTGCCTCCTCGGAATCAATAGCATAATCATTGGTCATGCATTATCTAGAAGATCCATTGGACTATACGACACTTGAAAGACAACATATATTTATATGTGTCTATGTTGTAGCCGAAGTTGGAATTCAGCCGGATTCTGAATTCGTCCAGCCGAAGTTGGAATTCTAACTTCGTCTGGACTAAAGTGGAATTCTAAGTTCGACTAAACTGACTATGGACGAAATTAGAATTTTTTTAATGACTAGAAAACGGTAAACGATTGATGAGAAATATTTATTAATTTTTTGTGTTGATTATACATGTGACGTTGTTTTTATCTCTTGATTGATCTTTGATTGAATTTATTCAATAATTGACAGAACCAACGGTATATATTGAAGGACTCATGCGCGAAATTGTAAAATAAATAATGGCGTCTAATTCAACACTTGAAGTTGATAATCATGAGATCATCTTTTACAAAAAACTCGATGGGTACATTAACTCATTGCATGAAAAATATCGTAAAAAAAGTGTTATCAAACAGCAGGTTTATAATGATATTCTGCAATGTTTGTCGTTACTAAAAGGAAAATCTTCTAAATCTCATTCTCCAAAATTTATTTATTGGGCAAAATGCCATTTTAACATAGTTAAAATTGCTGGAAATGATATTGTAATCTGTATCAAATCTAAGAAACCAGTTTGTGTGTATGAAGCGTTTTACAAAATTATATCTGAAGCACACAATACTGTTTCACATGGTGGTCGGGAAAAGACCTATTCTGAAATAATTTCGCAATATTCATGAGTTCCTCGATATTGCATCGAATTATTTTTGAAACAATGTTTACCATGTGAAACCAAAAAGCCAATTAAACAGCATGTTGCTTCAAAACCAATTATTTCCTTGGGCGTTATGACACGTCTACAAATAGATCTTATAGATATGCGTACAAGGCCCGACAAAATATCGCCTGACATTGTTTACTGCTGGATTTTGAATTGTATTGATCACTTTAGCAAGTTTTCATGGGCTTACCCATTAAAAAATAAAACAGCTGCTGAAGTCGTTACAAAATTACGTGAATTATTTTTTGTTTTCGGTCCACCTCGCATAATACATAGTGACAATGGACGTGAATTCGTTTCAAGCGTTATCATGGAAATAAAAAACTTTTTTCCAAATTTATCATTTATTCGAGGACGGCCAAGGCATCCACAAAGTCAAGGCTGTATCGAAGGGGCTAACGGCATTTTATGCGATGCTCTTGGCAAATGGATGTCCACCAACAATTCATCGAGCTGGTCTACTGCTTTATTACCTGTTATTTATGGTATAAACACCAGAAAATCTACAGTTACCAAAGCAACACCATATGAAATTATGTTCGGACAAAGACCAAGATCAGATTCTGATTTCTGGGAGTTAGTTCAGGAAGCTGGTATTGAAGATGAAGAAAATCCTCCAACTCCAGTAGACGAATTAAATGATGATATGCTTGATGAACATATTGATACTGAAGTAGTTGAAATTAATGAACAATTATCTGATAATTTGAGTTCTTATTCATCAACAACTTCATCATTACAATTAATTAATGCATCAACAACATTAACATCATCATCAGCTGACGTAACAACAATACCTACCAGACACGATAAGATTCGTAAAATTGCTACTGATCATTATCTTGCAACAGCAAATAAAAAAATGAAATTATACCATGATAGTTTAAATATGATCGCCAATAATTTTAATATAAATGATTGTGTTGGAATAGAAATACATGCAGTTGATCGAACCAACACCGATCCAAAATATTTGCCATGCCGAATTATTGAAAAAAATGAAAATGATAATGGTTTTTTTATACAAATTAATATGCCAATATGGTGTTTTACAAAACACTTTTGAAGTTGGACAATTAGTGAATTTAAATGATGCATGTCCTGATGAATTAAAAAAAATTAATGTTGATGATTTATAACCAATTACTCTTATTGAAGCATCGAAACTTTATGCTCGTGGTTGTGTGACTGGACGTACTTGTAATTGTCGTAGTAAATGTTCAACAAAAACTTGTCCATGTTAAAGATCAAACGTCTCTTGTTCTACCAAATGTCACTCGAAAAAAGATACCTGTTCTAACATGGAGTAGATTAACACAGAATTTGTGTTATTTGTTGATTTTTTTTGTTAAATCAAATTAAAAAAGTGATTCTTAATTTTTGTTTGTTTTTCTATCGTTTTCTATTCATTAAAAAAATTCTAATTTCGTCCATAGTCAGTTTAGTCGAACTTAGAATTCCCTTTAGTCCAGACGAAGTTGGAATTCTAATTTCGGCTGGGCGAATTCGGAATCGGGCTGAATTCCAACTTCTGCCACAACATATATACATATTACTCTTTTAGTATGAGGTTATTTTTGGAAATTTGATAGAATAAATGCTCTATAGCTTCTAACTACTCTCATTGATCAATCATCTTATGTCAATGTTGATTAAAAATTTTTCAAGTTCATTTATTAGAATAAAACCTTTTCTTTTTATTCTTTCTTTACTTTTGTATTGATGAACGATATGTTGATTGGAAAAATAGATAATCACATGTACATATGTGATCAACTACCCAGGTCGAACAGGCACGGTCGTAAATGATCGTATACGGAGAAATACAGCAAAATACATGGTCCAGTATTACGATCGTATTTGTCCGTATACGAAGTTCGTAATCGTCGACCTGGGTTATTTTTTATTTCTTTTAAAAAAAAATTCCATCAAAAATTCTAGATTATATTGCAATCAATCTTCTTTTTCTAACAAAAACATATGTCAATTCGACGAAGTACGACATTTTTCGTTATTTAAACATCATTTGTTACAAACAACCAACCAATCATTGTTTTTCACACTGCTATCACACAATTTCATATATATGACTCATTCCACTACATGCATACAACAGATATAAAGACAATCATTTATCATTTCGTTTTCCTATTAGTTGAAATGTATGAGCCAACAGAATTTTATTTTTTTCTCTCTACATATATTTCTGATTGAAGAATGCGCCATCTTTCGTTCTTGTACCTCTATTGCTTGAAACAAATCAACCAATCCGTGATATTTCTGTGTATATATGTAGCATAATGAAAAGAAATTAGCAATTTTTTCCGTAATAACACAATGAAAATTGATAAATGAGGTGTGAAATCGATGTAGCTCGTTGAGATCTATCTGGAACCAGTATTGCTTGCACTGGAATCAGCTCAGAATCGAATTTGAAAAGGAAATGCTAGGATTTTCGTGGTTTTGGGCGGTATTTTGTTTTGTTGTGACAACCAGGGATCTAGAAGAAAAATAAGCCCCTGAACTCGATAGAGCTCGTCGATATCTATCTGGAACCAGTGTTGGTTACATTGGAGTTGGGTGAGGAGTGAATCCGGAACGATATTTCTGAAATTGTTGTGTTTTTTAGGCATTTTTTAGTAGTATTTTGAGTTTTTTTCGGCTATGAGGGATCCATGGAAAAAAAGTGATCTGTGGCATCGATAGAGCTCGTCGAGTTCTGTTTGGAACCAGTGAGAACGATATTGGAACCGGTTCATGACCGAGGCCGGAAAGGAAAAACTCGAATCCGTTGATAAGATATCTTACGTCAAAAATGGCTCAATGACAGAAGAACTATTAACTGGTCTTACATTTGTTATTACAAAAAAAAATAATTTTATTTCTGATAGTTTGTTTTCTATGTACATTTGTGTTGTATTTAATATTAGTGTTATAATAATGAAACTCATTGTGTTTTACTCTATTCTAAACAAGATTCAACTATGTTTGTGTTATTTTGATATGCTTATAAGTTAAACTCAACTAGTTTTTTTCTTGCAAGTGAATTCGAGTTAAATTCAACCTGATATTTGGTTCTGATTTCGATGAGCTTAACTCCAACGTGATTTCAAGTTGGATTTTAGGTGATTATAATTGAATTTGAAATTCATCGAAAGAAAACTTGACAATACAACAATCGACATTTTGTAAGAAAATTTGTCAAATCGACAAATTTGCGATCGACATTTTTTGTATTCGACAAAATTGTAGCCACTCGCAATAGTTCAGATAAATTTTTCTTTCCAATTGTTTGCAAATTCTTGCTGAACATCGAATAGTTCGCAATACAAACAACTTCTATCTGCATTTATTCAACAAATCTTTCACCATCGATGTATTTTCCAAGTTGATGAACGATAATTCTTAAATGATGGTTTACTGAATAGCAAATTTTTTTTTTGAAAAGGCACATACATTGGTGAAAACAAATCAAGTAGAATAAACGATAAGATCAGAGGAAGACAATTGGAGGTTCAAGAATTAAAAACTATCAATTGATTAGTAGAAAGAATACAAAAAAAATGACTGAATCCTTGCAACAAAAGATTCAATGGAATTATTCAATGCCAAATAGAGATAACATCTTTATTTTGACTACAAATATTAGGAATTTTATAATGAATAAATAAAATAAAACCTTGAAATTCCTCTTTTTTCTTCTTGCCTCTAATCGACACAAAACACTCGATTATTTGTTTTATTCTCCGTCTATTTACTAAGATTTTAAACCCTCTTAATCTTTACTCTATACCAATGTTCATGAATTTGATGACATTTTTCGGAATGAAATTAAGAAAAAAGCTGATATGCTCATAAAAGAAAAAAAAATATATGCTCTGGTTTTCATACGTGTCCCGTTATATCAGTGGTATTTTGTATATATTCAGCACCATCTAGATGATTCCTTGTCAATATGATTTATCAGAACAACGAGCAATAGAGAAAAGACGTTTACTCTACTTTGCGTTTGGGTCCGTTTTTTTTCTTTTTTTCTTGTTTGTGTCTTTTCTCGACGTTCTTCTTTTCTCTTTTCTGTGACACAATGAATACAAAAATCTACTGCAACGACTACTGTTGATTTGACGTATGCGATTCATTTACTCCTCGAGGGAGTCATACGATAGAGAAGCAAACTTCATCTTTGCTACTATTCAGTCTGATAAAGTTAACTCTTCTTGATCTAATTGAGTAAGTAAACAGAAGGGTTAAATGTTATTATGAAAGACGAAGAAGAAAAAGAAAAAAGAAACTATAACATACACATATTGTCACAATTTACTTCGTTATTAACATAGTACATGTGTTCTTAGCAATGGAGTGATGATAGAGGAAAAGAATATTGTTCCATATTTCTTATTCTTTTCTTTTCTTTTTTTTTTCTCATGCCTGTTCCTCTACTACTGCTGTTGCCTTTCCATCGATCGTTGTTTATTGTCTCATAAAATACAAGATATAAACTGTAGATCATTATTAGTAAAGTGTAGTTTGTCTGTCATCAAATTAACAACTGAATAAAACAATTGGAGACTATTTTTTATGAATAAGATCATGTTCAGTTTATGTACAATAATTATTATTCTTTTCATTAATGAGATCTATGGTAAGATGAAATGTCAAGAAAAATAAGAATATCTTTATTATTATATAAATAGAAATCAATGGAAATGTTGAAGCTAAACTTCTTCTACATGAACTTATGAAAGATTATAACAAATATGTTTTACCAGTTCCATCAGTAAATCATATAGTTAATGTTTCATTAGGTTTAAAATTATCACAATTATCTGATATTGATGAACGAAATCAAATAATGACAACAAATGTTTGGCTTGAACATGTAAAATTTTTATTTATTTATTTATTTGTCGATTTAAAAAACCTTTTCATTTACTTATTTAGGAATGGACAGATTATAAATTAACTTGGGATCCAAGCCAATACGGTGGAATTGAAGTTGTTGAAATTCCATCATCTGATATTTGGGTACCTGATGTTGTTTTATATAATAATGCAGATGGAACATATGAAGTTAATACAATAACTAAAGCTCATGTTGTAAGAATCTTTTTTTTTTAAATATCTTAAAGAATATAATTTCTTTTCTTCACAAGCATTGGAATGGAACAATAAAATGGAATCCTCCTGTTATATATAAATCTTATTGTGCTATTAATATTCAATATTATCCATTTGATGAACAAAAATGTACATTAAAATTTGGTACATGGAGCCACAATGGAAATCTAGTATATATTAATTGAATTAAAAAAAGAAAAACGATGTTCATCTTTTCAAACATAGGTTGATCTTAATCATAAATCAGGACAAATTGTTGCTGACATTGGGGTGGATCTTACTGATTATTATCCATCTATTGAATGGGATATTCTTGCAGCTGTAAGTATGATTATTAAGGAAATTAATTATAGATATATATGCAAGAGTTGAACAAAAACAACTCAGATGCAATCGTCCAAATCAGATTCGATTGGATATGGATAATTACAATGGAATTCTGTCAGATAGTCATCGTATTTTAATTATAGGATCCAATAGAACTTGGATTGGAATTCGACTATAGAATCGTTTGTTTCAGGAAGGACTTCTGTATCTTTTATTTCCATAGATTTTTACTTTCGATAGTTGTTTGAATATGAATATGTTCTATGATTAAAATGAAGTGCTCATGAATTTTGATGATAGATTCTATTGAAAATTATTTAAAATGAAAGACATATTAGATAAAACCAATTTTATATTTCATCTTTCTAAATTAATTCACTATTTCGGTAAAACGAAAGTTTTTTCGTTTTGAGATATGCTACGTAGCAGGTTACAAAATAGGTCTTCCAGTTCGACCGAGAGAGCTTTTGTTTCCGAGCCGAGTGAGTTTCGTCAGCGAATATTGGTAGACCTAAATGTCTATCGGATCACCAGGTTCGAAATTAATTAATTTTTTTCAAGGAAGACTTCTCACATAAGAAAACAGAAAAACAATTTGATTTTAATCGATTTTATTCTATTTTTCTCTTAAAATTCCTCATATGAATTTTGTAACTCGCAACTAATAACAATCTGGAATCTTTATTCTGTATTAGTTTTGGAAGTTTCATTTAGTCAATAAATAAAGATAAAGAATTTATGTGTTTCAACGGCATTCCTCATCCATAGACAAGACCGAATGCACTTTGAGCATTATTGATCAAAGCTTATGTTAATCAACAATAATCTTCAAGAAGGTAGAATAACCGTGTCTTTCAGCTACCTTGCGACACTTCACTAGTCCAATATTCTCTTTATAACTAGTATTAGTTGCACCTCTGAACAGAATGTCAGCCGTGACACAGAGCTCTTAAGCTCAATTACTAGAGCTCTTCATACACATAATCTAACGACAAGAGCAGGTGTTTGTCAACATGCTATCGGACAGGTGATTCGAGACAAATAGTCATTAGTGACTTGCTCAGGGTCATTCCATGGTTTTGTGGTACCGAGTTTTACCCGAATATCTTGCGTATACATGTCGAACAACACCACCACTCTGCAATGACAGGCGGTCTTCAAGAAGTTGGAGTTCGCACGAAACACATTTGACTCTTTCGGTTCAATAGGTAATTCAACTTATCTTTCATGATATTTTTTCAAACATAAAAATTATTCGACCTTATTTAACTCGTGATCACAATGATAGCATACCTCTTACAATATTATAATACAGATTGTGGGCTTCCATTGTGTAGAAATCCATTTTGTAAAAGAAATATATTTTTAATAGTCTCATTCCAAACTAGGTCAGACCATCAAAAAGTGGCCCAATTTCGAGACCTGTTATATAAATTAATACAATAGCTGTAACATTTGTTCTTTTTAGACTGCTGTTCGCCATGTTGTGTTATATGATTGTTGTAAAGATGATCCTTATTATGACGTAACATTCACTATAGTTATTCGACGTAAACCACTTTTTTATATGGTTAATCTTGTTATTCCATGTGTTAATATTGCATTTCTTACAATTCTTGTTTTTTGTTTACCAAGTAAGTAATAAATAAACTGTATAAAAGAAAACAAAAAAAAACATTACAATTTAATATTTAGGTGATTGTGGTGAAAAATTAACTTTATCGATATCAATTTTTGTCGCACTTCAAGTGTTTTATCTTCTTTTAATTGACCTTATACCTCCAACATCATTAACAATATCATTACTAGGAACATATTTACTTTTTACATTAGTACTTGTTAATGCATCTATTTTTATAACCATAATAACATTGAATATTCATTGGCGTCATCCAAATACTCATCATATGCCTAATTGGGTTAAACGATGGTTTTTTCAAATAATACCACCATTTATATTTATGTCAAAACCACATATTGCTAATGCTATATTACAAACAGACGAAGAACGCGGAAAAGAAGAATTAGTTAATAGTGACAATAACCTAACACGTTTAAATAATTATATGAAAACAATATCAATTGATAAATACCCACCGATAATTCAACAAGCAATAAAAGATATTCGATATATTAGTGAAACACAACGTGAAGCACAAAAAGATGATTTGGTTCGTATTGAAATTCTGTTTTCTTTTGTTAATTTAAAAATAAAACGAAATTTTCATTGTAGGAAAGAGAAGGGTGGCGATTTATTGCATTAGTTATAGATCGATGTTTTTTAATAATATTTATTATTTTAACAATAACTGGTTCATTTATCATTCTACTTTCTGCTCCATCTATACGTGATAAATCTGATCCGATAGAACGATTGTATTCACGTCATTATAATTCACAATTGAGTTAATTTTTTCGGCGCTTTATTTTCATTCGTTGTCAGTATTCTATGCCATTTTTGTTTTGTATATGCAAAATATTTGTTTTACCTCTTTTTTGATGAAAAATAAAACTTTTTTTTAAGCCATTTTATTATTTGAAAATAATTGAATGAAAAGTTTTCAGATAATTGAATCTTACGACTTTTCATATAATGAAAGTTTAAATGGAAGGTTTTTCATGCTTTTGCAATTATTCGATGATTAATAGTCATGATGAAGATTCATTTATAGTATTGTTAATATTCAAGACTCGTATCCAGGGGTTTCGACTACGAGCGGATGGGCACCTCTCTCTTCCCTAACCATATATTCGACTTTTCGATAATTTTTTACAACTTTGTGATGGCATAGGATAAAAACAGGATTTTGAAACACTATTTTCTGTTCTATGGCAGAAATGAAATAAAAATAATCAGACAAGGTCATTGCAAGGTAAATCAGATTGAGACAGGCCTCTGTAGTCAGATCACAGTGAATTTTGTTCTTCCTTCTCACAATCATACTTCTAGCACTTCGAGAATTAAAGCACTTTCCGCCGAAGTTTTACCTTCTCCCACCTCTAAAAAATATCAACAACCTTTCGCATATATAACAAGTCATGTTCATCAAGATTCAATTCATTTGAATGTAGCGTGACAAAATAGAGATATACATATTGGTGCAATTAGATTTAAGCGTGTGTTAAGTACTAGATAAATAAAAGAGATTATTTGACACATAAAAACGGTTCGTCTCCCAAGACAAATTTTTTTTTGTATTATAAAAATTGATTTTTATGTTTATAAAGAGAAACCGATTTTGAATATGCGAATGAAGTTCGGTTTATGTGTGATATGTTATTGATTTTTCTACTGAAATTTTGTCAAATTTTGTAATTGTTACAGTTTTGTAACTCTGTTCGTTTTTGTTCTTGAATATTGGTCTTCAAATTTTATTTCAAACGATAATTAAGTACAGTGAATGAAAATGTTTGTAATTGTATAGATGTGTCTAATGAATTACAGCATGTCTATGAATGATATGCGGTTATAAATAGCAGTACGTCAATTTTAGAGATTCTATGCTCGAAGTTTTCATATTTTAAATAGAAAACTTCAAATTGAAAGCGTTTCGGTTTTTCATCATTCATATGATTCTGTCTTCTTCATGTTTGGAACGTATGTTATGTACATTTATTCAATGTGAAAGATAAAATAGAACTCAACACAATTATTTACAGTTAGTTATATTAGTGCTATTTCTAAAGCAAAAAAAAATTAGAATCGCATTATTCAAATAATATGATTTTAATCTGTCATGATCCTATGTTCTGACTCACTCTCTAATCCTTAATACATATTACATTACATTCTCATGTATGCGGCATTGAACAATCGATCAAACCATCCAAGAATTTAATAACAATAATCATCAGTTCTAAAGATATCCCAAGTTAAACAACCATGATCATAAATGATTACGTAATGACGCATTGCATGACTCAGTATTGCGATCATATCTTTTCGCATGTGATAACGAGAAATACGACTGTTTACAGAGTTCGTATACGACTTCTATTTCATTCAGTATCTTATCGTAAGCGGTCGTATTTCTCTGAATACGATACAGTAGAATACGACCATTATACTGAGCCATCGAAATACATCAAAATACGGTCGTATATGATACAATATTGAATGAATATGGATTTCATATTCTTCATCCTAATATGCTAATCTTCCATTGATTTGAGTCCTCATGCATATCTGCCCTTTTTTTTGTTATCCTATGCAGTTATTTAGATCATAGTTATCATATAATAACTCTGTTATTCCAGACTGACAGACACTGATGAATTCCGGCTTTTAGATGCTATCCTTACAGTCTAGGGAATATATAATAAACAAATTTCAATAGTAAAACGTTAGAATATGTTTAACTAGAATCCCAAGATAAGTGAGATTGAGTGTCAAGTTAGAACTATTCTATATATAATATTTCTATAGCTTCTATTGAAGATAGTTTATCAAGAATTTTTTTTCTTTCACCACAAATAATTGACTCCTACTGTTTGATGTTTAAGAGAATATCTTATTTGAATTCGAAATAACTGATTAGCTTTGAAAAACTTTTGAATAAACTTTTAGTGTATTGATAAGGTTTTACTTGACAGTTGTAAAGTTATATTTATTAGTAAGAATAGGAAACAGATAGATGATTATATTTTGGACGTATGATAATTCGAATGATTGAATATGAGTGTTATATGGTTATTTTATTTATGTAAATATGAAAATGCTTTCAGAAACCAATCTTGCTTTTAAAGAAACTAATTATTGACATTAGTCAATTTTAAAATGAAGTATTGAAAACAACTCATAATAAGACAAACGATACAAAAAATAGACTACTATTTTCTTTTTCTAAAGAATTTTTGACTTTGGAAAAATATTGAAAACATTCGAATGTGTTTTCATCAAATAATAATATTGATTAACTGTGCACAATAAGAAGATTGAAAGCAAATATAATATTTAAGAATGGCATAGCTCGATCAACTAACACAATTAAATGTTTAGTATTATTCCTACAAGAATAACTAGTTGTATAGTTTTCAGAAAATTCTATTTTTGGCTAATTCAAGGACTGTTATTTATTTCTGTCTGAAAGGTTCTTTATTTCTTGTCATCTATATTTATCTAAGCAAATACTATTGTCTCATGTTAATTAGAAAAAGAACTGAAAATGTCATCGAACAAATATGCTGTCAACACTTTTTGACCAGTTATAACTACATTAAAATAAGATATTACTATGTAAAAGAATTTATTAAATTATAAAGAAAAAACAATGATATAGTTTTATTAACTTTTACCCATTGATAGTTTATATTTTTGAAATGCACAATCAAATTGTAATTTTTTTTCTTTTGTTATTTTTTTTTTAAATTCAACCCAACTCCATTTAAGTGTTGACATAAGATTTTTGTTTGGTATTATAATATTAGTTAAATAAATGATGCATAAATCATCTTCATCAGCTGCTTCTTGTATACGTTTTACTTCAAATAAAGTCCACGGTAAAATAAGTACTTCTTGTTCATCTTCATATTCACTTAAGCATGGTTTATCAATTGATACTCTTGTCAGATTAATAGCTTGATCACATATATTAGGGAAATCAAACACTAATAAAACACAGAATCTTTTTTCATTATTTTTCTTTTTTAAATATGCAAATTCTTCTGCAATAGAACGATTCATTGATGTTGAAGAAAATGAACGTGTTTGTAGAACAGTTCCTGGTATTTTCATAGCTCTTTGATATATTAATAATTCTTCACATGTCATATGCATACCACGATAAACAAGTCCTCTAAAATATCGTTCTTTTAATTTTGGTAATTGTATAAATAATGGTATAGCTAATGGTAAACAATCTTTTTTTAACGTTCGATAAAATTTTGTTTCCAGTGTATATAAATGAAGTAATTGTTCGACTGAATTATCATTTTTTTCATATTCTTTTATCAAGTCATTGATTTTAACATAATCATCAGAATTTTCCGTATTAATCTCTTTTAGTAGACCATTTAAACGTTTTATTATTGCATGGTGATCTAATGGTTCATCAGAATGAAAATGATTTACACAAAAACGAGCAAAACGTGATTGACACATAGCTTTTGAACTTGCAGAATATTCGATTTCATGTTTTTTTTCTTCTTCAGATTTGTATGTTTGTATACTAGGTAATTTCTCAAGTGTTGTTGTTTTTTTAGCACTCGTATCATCATCATTATGATCGTCATTATCATTACAATCATTACCATTATCGTTATCACGGTTATCTTGAACTTTCATTACATCAAAACATTCGGATGCATTTTGTTCGAAAAATCGTGAAGAACATTTTGATGATGAATCAGTTTCATTTTGACGAACAAATGATAAACGTGTAGATTCTTTACCTAATGATGCCACATCATAAGCACTTTGATTTTGTGAATTAAGAAGTGATGATCGATAACAACCTTGCTTAAGTAAAAGTTTAACAATATTATCATGGCCATTTGCAGCAGCAACATGTAAACATGTATTTCCACCATCTGAAAATTCTTGCCGATTTAAATCAGCATGAGAATATTGTGGTAAAAGACTTCGAACTTGTTCTTCATTACCATCACGACATNTAAGCACTTTGATTTTGTGAATTAAGAAGTGATGATCGATAACAACCTTGCTTAAGTAAAAGTTTAACAATATTATCATGGCCATTTGCAGCAGCAACATGTAAACATGTATTTCCACCATCTGAAAATTCTTGCCGATTTAAATCAGCATGAGAATATTGTGGTAAAAGACTTCGAACTTGTTCTTCATTACCATCACGACATGCTTCATACAAAGGAGTAATGGAATTGAAACATGTTCCATTTGATGGAGAAAGCTGACTCCTAACACTATCTTTCCTGCCCATATATAGTAAAAACTGCATATAAATGAGTCGTAAATAGGTATGCTTCAATACAAAGCTAATTTTGTTTTTATGTCGTGTATAAATATATAACGCGAGTAGGTAGGTAATAATTGTGTAATGCGAACGTTCTATTGTGCGATGAATCAACATCGATGCAACGCTGACATGTATTAAGAGTAGTGCGTAATAAACTAAAATCGTGACAATTAGGGATAAAAAAATTGTTTACCTCCAATTGAGCTACAAATTTTAATAAAGACCATATGATAATTGGAACAAATACACTGCTAGCTAAAAGTATCTCCCATCGGATTTTATTTGTTAGGAGAGCTAAACTTCTGAACATTCTTCTGCAAATGGTCAGCAGATAATGTAGGGTAGCGGTAATATCAACGCTAAAATCCCTCAAGCTAGAACGAAATTATAATAGTTGATGGTGTTGGTGATCATCGTGAATCTCGTAACTCGAGAATACATGAACGTTTTGAATTTTCCAATCGCTCATTTGGTAGCCCTGCATTATAGATATTTCTGAAATAAACTTTATCGAAGTTCATCACACTCCTGACGGGCTAGAACACGTCTGCTGAAAACATGGATATGCAAGAAAAAGCAATAGAATATCATTCAACAGTAAATAACTCAGCAATGATTTCATAAGTCAATCGAAAATGCTCAGGAGATATTTCAGCAAATACTTGTCAAGAATCTGAATTCTTTATTACTCAAATAAATGAAGTCATCTTTCGTGCAATGAAGGATCATGAGTTTTGCTACAATTTTGTGCTGAAAGATCGATAGCTGATCATATATTACTCTAAGAGCCAGTCATAACTCAGTAAACTTGTTTTTCATTAGTTTTCTGCCAAATGGAATCATCGTCTTTATTTGTAAAAGAATTTGCTGAGAAATTTGCTTTGGATGTCCATAAAGTTTTCTAGAACAAAAGAAATCATCTTATTTTAGACTTCTATACAATTGTTTGCGAAAACCGTTTAGAAAATAATGATACAAAAGGATACAGTTTATGTTTTACTATAGAAAGACGCTGCTTTCAATATTTTAGAGGACAGTTACTAGTGATTCTCACGCTTTAAATTGTCTGGTAAAATCTGTAATATAATTCTCAGCAACTTCAATCCTAATATTACGTGCTTCGATGAAGACAGCTAGATTTTATTTTTTCTAAAACACTTCGAGCTGTTCAAACTATGTTTTCAGTGAAATCTTGATAAATAAAGACGATTGTTCCATTTGGTAGAAAACTAACAAGAAAGAGGTTTACTGTTTCATGACTGGCTCTTAGAATAATATATGATCAGCTATCGATCTTTTAGCACAAAATTGTAGCAAAACTCATGATCTTTCATTGCACGACAGATAATCCCATTTATTTGAGTAATAAAAAATTCATACTCTTGACAAGTATATGCTGAAATACCTTCTCAGCATTTTCAATTGACTCATAAAATTATTGCTGAGTTATTTACCGTTGAATGATATTCTATTGTTTTTTCTTGCATATCCATGTTTTCAGCAGACGTGTTCTAGCCCGTCAGGAGTTTGATGAACTTCGATAAAGTTTATTTCAGAAATATCTATAATGCAGGACTACTAAATGAGCGATTGGACAACTCAAAACGTTCATGTATTCTCGAGTTATGAGATTCACGATGATCATCAACACCATCAACTATTATAACTCCGTTCTAGCTTGAGTGATCTTAGCGTTGATATTACCGCTAATCTACATCATCTGTGGACTACGTGCAGATGAATTTTCAGACGTTTAGCTTTCATAACAAATAGGATCCGAGGAGAGATACTTTGTCAGTAATGTATAGACAAATTAATTAGTTATCATGTCTTTCTAATTCATTGTAGATTTTTATAGGTGAATCCATCGATATGTCATACAACACTTTTTATAGACGAAAAAGAATCATCTTTTCCAATATTTGCATTCATTCAAAACTATTAGTTTATTCATATCTTTGATTATTATCTAGAAGATATCATATTTATTCTTTATTCTAAATAAATCTATGCTTTAAAATTCAAAAGAAATGAGAAAATCTCATGGCCAAATGCAAAAAAAAAGAAGTTTCCTTTTAAATTACAAATAAAAAAAACTAAACGACAAAATAAAATTCATAAATATAAATAATAAAAAATTTCTTCGAAATAATTCTTCTCTTATTGAAGTACTCTTATTATTACATGTCCATCCAACTTTCAATTGACCTTGTTCAACTAATTCTGCAAGATAATCTTGAAGTGGCTTAAAATATCGTAAACATGATTTAGCAGAAAATGTTCTTACACCAGCAAATTCTTCTAATATATCTTCCCAAGGTTTTGACGAACCAAGTTCAAGTAATATTCTAAACGAATTCTTTTTATTTATAATTGCATAACATAAAATCAAGAAATATACTTAAGTTTCTTGCCAGCAGCTGCTGAATCATACAAATCACATCAATGTAACGGTTCTTGTTGACCAGCTTCTTAACATAAAACATCAAATATCGAATGTGGCAAAAGTTTTGTGACATTTTCTGTTTGCAGGTATCTCTGTTGAGGAATACGATAAAATGTTGATCTTTTTTTTTCAAAGATGCGTCGCCGTATTCTTCACAAACTTCCATTTATCTTAATTTAGAATAATAGAGAGGAATATTTTTTATAGGTCGCATAGTATAATTATATGAAATGAGCCTACTTCCCACACATTATTTTCTGTTATTCCAATGATCTTTCGCAGTTATTAACAGACACGAAAGAGATGTTCTATTTGTAATTTTCAGTGTGTATCAAATGCTCTTTTAGAATTATTTGTAAGTGTTTGATCACAACCCATATATATCTAAAACCTATGGTCTTTCTGATCTGCTACGACTAAAACGGCCTTGCTGACACTATTCGGATTCTTCTTTCAGCTGAATGGTTTTCTCACGCCTTCTTACGGCTCACTATAGTAAAAGAAATTAATCTTCTACAAAATACTGGAAAAATCGAACCGATTTGATCATAAGTAACATTTCTAGAATGTTTTCTTTGAAAAGGCGCAACCGAGAATGAAAATCGCGATATTTCCAAAAAATGACCATGTGTCTAACCGAAAGAAAAAGTGTTTAAAAGCTTCGTATATACAAACAATCAACAGAGCATTTAAAAAGTTTCTAGCAGTAAATCGTGTTCTAAGAACTGAATACTCGCTTGCACGAAAAGAATAAACCACTGAAAAATGTGTGGGCAGTAGACTCAATTCAAATAAGTACACTCTGAGACCTTTAAAAATGCTCATTTCCACCGTTCTAAATTAAGATAAATAGAAGTTCGTACAAAATTCGACGATGCCTATTTTGAAAAAAATCAACGTTTTGTCATGCTGCTAAACAAAAATGCATGCACAATAAAAAATGTCGCAAACGTTTTGTCACATCCACTATAATTTTCCAATAAACCAATACGTTTTAAATGTGTTGGTGACATTTTAGTTAATGCAATTGCATCACCAATAGCTTCACTAAATGCACCATGTGGTGAACGATGAAACCTAAATGGTAAAGATTTATATTGTAAATAATATTGAATATGATCCATTTCATGATGAACATGTTATCTAGAGTCTCGTGATTCTGAGAAAATCGGAATTGTTGAAATCGAAATTGTTTTACTGATAATTAAGGAGTTGTACAAGTGTTGCATAATATAAAGTTAAATAGATTAATCTATAATTGCACCAACGGTAAACTATACATATTTTCCACCATTGGATGAAAAGAGAAGTCAAAAACAGCTAAAAAATATGATTAAAGTTCCTGACAAAATCTAACATCGTCAAAGAATCACTTTTTCAGAAAAGGCATGGTTAGATACTCTGATGTTCACTTTCATAATCATTATGATTTTGAAGCTTGTTTCTGTTAGCAGCGAGATTTTTCCCATCAAAGACGACTGTTCATCTGAAAAAAGAAAAAGTATTATAAATTTACTAAAGTTGCTCTAGCTCATACTAAGAACGAGATATAAACTGAAATTTCTTTTTATATATAACTAGGTACTGTCAATGTTTGAACAAAGTTTCAACTCAATGGGATTCTTTATTAACGAAAACGTTATATAATTGATTAACAGTATGCTTATTTTCACTCTCTCTTTGGTTTATCTTTCGAAGGAACTACTTTTATAAAAATAATAGATATTAAACATCTACAAAAATTAAAAATATAACTTGAACACTTATAGCAAAAACATCATTATATCAGTTACCTGACATACTATCATTAGATCATCGGTTGCAAAGGTACTTTCTAGGAATCGAAGATTCGATTTTGGACATCTCTTGGGATAGTCTGTCTTTACTGTGATTGTATAATCAATAACATCTGTCATGGTCTGTGATGAGCTGTTTCTTTCGTGTCTCTCATGTCTGTTGGGGGATCCTAGTTTACATGTACATATCTCAACACTACTTTTAGATCATGTTTTACAAAATTAATCAAAAAATTGATAATATGATAAAACATACCTAACATCATCATATTTATACATATCAAAAGCAGTAGGATGACAAGCCATATGACGACCAGGAATTTTCTTAAATATTGATAAATTCCAGAAATTATTTGGAACTTGTGTTAAATTTAATGAAACAAAAAATCTATCAGCATAATGAAAGATTTTTTCTTCAGTAAAATTCTAATAAAAAACAAAACAAAACATAGTTCGAATAAAAAGAATTTTTTCTAAGTAAAATGTAAAACAAACAAACTTTTTGTTTCATTGCTGGACCAAAATCAATTCCTTTAAGATGAGGAAACGGTAGAATATCTTTTACAAGATAAGTCATCATTGAACCAAATATGTCTTCTATAATAGATATACATATTAAGATAATCATTTTTTTTCTTTTTTTATTTCGCACTTGTTAAATGAACTGGTATAGGTTGATCAAGTTGAATAAGTTCAGGATATAGTTTGCTCATTTGCTGTCTTATATAAGCATGTAATAAACGATGTAGTGGTTTCAATTCTTGCCATAATTGTTCAACGATACGACGTTCTTCATTATTTGTTGTTGAATCAGTTTTATCAGTTAAACCTTAGCGAAAAAAAGTAGAAAAGTTATTTAAATAAGAAAAAACAAACAATTCAGGACAAAACGAAGATTCTTTCATATTTTTTTTTTGGAAATGATTCATTGAACTGATAAGTTACTTGAAAGAGTGTTGAATCGAAACATGAAAAGTTTTCTCTCTTTCATTTTAGTTTTTATTTGAGTAAATCAGTCAAATTAAGATATTATTCGACATAATGTACAAATATTTACAAGCAGAAGCTAATGGCAAAAATAAATTAAGACTACAATTTAGTAATATTAGTTTCTTATCAATCCATAACTAGATTAGCTGAATGAGACTTGTTATACATCGAAATGAAATATTAATAATTTAGTGAATAGATCTTAAAAGAACATTGTTTTTTTCTTCCATGATAGATCAAGATGGAGACAACTTCATTCTTGTAATAAATCGTATAGGAATTGAATAACGACAAGATCTATTTCCGTACCGTAACTAAATGATGACTTTTGAATGAAATCATGAGCACACGAGGAAAAGAATCTGATTTTTTGTCATTAGAATCAATCAAAGCACTAGGAATCAGTGGATTTTCTTTGAGTAATTCCATGAAAACATCTCGAATCACTCTTAGTTAATATTAGGACTGGGAATGTATCAGTTATCTGGTAAGGGGTAACGAAGAATTTGAGAGTTTATCAAGACCAGACTATTTTTCAAAATAAATAATACTTTATAAAGTTTTATCAAAGGTTTTCGAGGTTAAGGAATCTAAATCTGTAAATGGATTCTTGAAATTGTATGCTTGATTTCTCGATGCACGAAAAGCTATTTTAGAACACTTGACCGAGAAATCCAATACACAGTTTCGGATTCCTGAACACCGTAAACCTTTAATCAAACTTTATAAAAAAAAACTCCATGATCTTCCTCCGTCACCCCCCCCCCCTCGCCCCCCAATAGCTATTCTCTGACGAAAAAATCAAATTCACGAATTAGCTGTTACTAGGTACTTCGTAGTGTAAGAGTAACTTCCTTGCCCTATTATAGTGACTAAAGTCATTTTAGGGCCATTGGAATCAGCTGTTTCCCCCTTCAGTGAACGTCAAGCGCAATTACTTCAACATTAATATTGTCGAGCATGAGGAACAATCAGCATAAATGTTAATCAGAATGAATAAGTAAGAATAATGCTTGTAATTACGAGTACAATGAAAAGAAAATATAGAAGAACAAGTTTACGACTGCAATGAAATATGATTATAATGGAATTAATTGAAAATAATACATTTGAATGACAACTATAAGTAGATTGTGAAACATGATTTGAAACGTTTGTTTTTTTCTTCGTATCTGTTGAATTTCAAAAGGTAGATAGTAATCTAACAGGAATTACACTAAAACCTTATCTACGTTGAAAGATTATGTGTTTCGGTAAGAGAAATTGGCCGATAGTATATTTATGAAAGTAAAGGATAGATTCATTCTATTCATTGATAACAATGAATTTACTAGAGGTTATATTGCTGTTTACTTTTTTCTAATTAATTGAAGTTTATTACATGCATATGTAGACATGACTTCTATTTCTAAAGACTCTTGTGTTAAACATTGTCGTGCTGAACGTTCTGTTTTCCTTTGTAGACCTATGTTTAGTATCGGTAAGAATGTTGAATAAAAATTTCTATTGCAAAAAAATTTTCTCAACTCAAATTTTGTCGAATCTATCTAGCGATGAATTCAAAATAGTAATATCTCAGGAATATAATAAAGGATAATAAGATAGACTAATCAAAGTTCAAAGACATATATATAAATCTTGATACTTATTCTGTGTTAGATACACTATTTGAAAATATTTTAATTAATTTATGTCGATAATATCTTTTTTTTGATATATTTTTATATTAGATCGATTTTAAAATAACTGAGAACTTTAGATATGAGAATGGGTTACTGCTGCGGTACGGTTCTGTTTGGCCTGTTGATTTTGTGTAGCAATTAATGTTGAATAATAATCTCGCATAGGTATAGCGCCTTCATAAGTTGCATTCCATAATGAAAGAAGATCATTGGGTGATTCAAGTTTACCAAGTACTTCTTGTACTTCTATAAAATAATATATTCATTTTTTTCGTATCTAAATAAATAAACAAACCATCAATGCTTAATTGTGTATTATTCCAAATAAATTTTCGATGATAAATTTCTTTCATACGAGATCGTAATTTTTGTACTTCAAGTTTAATAACAGTATTATTTTCTCCAGCTTCACCAATAGCTTGTGTACGTAATAATAACCAACGTAATGAAGTATGGTTATTATTTATTAAAAATTGAAAATGTCGTGCAACAATAGCTACTGTTTTCAGACAAGAACGATAAAGTTCATAATATTTATCCTAAATTGTAATAAAATAAAAAATTTCTCATGATAAAAAGGAATAAATATTTACCGTTGTACTTCTTTTACTTGAATCATTCAAATGTAAATGTGTTTGAAATTCAGCTAACGATGTTATATACGCAAGACTTGTTAAATTTTTATCATATTCATCCAAAATTGACATAGCCTAGATACATAAATATAGAGAGACTAAGATTTTGCCCGGCTCCAAGTTAACCTCATCAATTGCCATAATAAGCCTTATTTTCTATGAATAGTTAGTATACTCCATAATGCGCAGTAGAATACATTCTTATTAAAAAGTTCTGCTCAACAACGCGCATTTAGATAAATCGCAGTTCTAGAGTTATGCTCAGCAAGATTATGCAGCATTCAGCAGAACGGTATACTGATAAGAGCTACAGAGTGTGGCAACTATTCATAGAAATAAGACGTTTTATGGAGATTAATGAGGCAAAGTTCGGTTCGTTTCGAAAATTCCTTGGACCGAAAATCAAATAACTCTAAATTTATATCGACAATAAAAACTTTCCATATGAGTGGACCATTCACTATTTGATAGAGTATAACAATGTGATTCAATGGAAAAAAAACTATGCTGGACAATGAACCTCTAACTTGTGTACATTTATTTTCTATCCTCGAAACAATTATAATCTAAGAAGTTGTGAATGAATACCAACAATTGCTATGCTAACATTTCTCTTTTTTAAAATCTAATTACTAGAAGTTTTTCGGCGTTGCATCATGTGGATTACAATGTAAAATTCGATTAAATTGATTTTATTATAGACGCGATCATTGTCGCAATATTTTCTTAGTTCGATATGTTCTCATGATAAATATATATTAATTGTAATGTTTTTACGGCACATTGAAAATAGATTTATAAAAAAAATAGCTTCTTGTCCACTGACCGTGACATACACTAGAATATGTCACATGATTCATGACAAGAAGATCGTTGAACTCGAATATCTTCCTATCCAATTGAATAGATCAACAATAATGTGCTTAAAAATGTCAAATATTTATCTCTATTTGAAATGATAAACGTGTTTCTGTGGAAAAATATTATTTCTTACCTAGTACACAAATTCATAGAAGAAGAATAAGATTAAATTACTACAAATATCTACATAAATCTTGAAGATTCCTCCTTTTTTCGTGACCTAAAATTTTATTTTTTTTTCATTTTCGGTTTTTTGTGGTCACCGTATAGTCTGACGTAGTTGCTATCTACTGAGTACATTTTGAGATCCGAAAATAGTCTTTCAACGTTAAAAACAATCAAATTAACGAAACCCGTACATTGTTTCGCGTTTTCTTCAAAGCAACTTTTTTATTTAAAAAAGGTGCAGAAACACCCCCGTATGTTTAATCGAGCTGAAACTTTTTTCACATATATACTATACACTGTTGGGGATAGGTATTTTTTTTTTTGGGTATCAAAAAATATTGTTCTGCTGATTCGAAGAACAAAAGAAAAAAAGATACTCATCCTAAACAGTGTTTAGTGCCTGTAAAAAGAAACATTTTCAGCTTGATCGAGTGTAGCATCTTGGAGAAACGGGCGCCATTGTGATCTTAGTATCTCATACAAGACAGCATCTCCGAAGCTTGAGTCTATAACAACTTTTGCTCTACCCATCAAGATCTAACTGTCCTGAAAATTTCAAAGTTTTGTGATGAGCCATTCTCCAAAAATCTCGGAAACATGAAGGCATACCCTTAATGACGTTCTTACTAAGATATTTTACTATAGAATAAAACACCTATTCAACATAATAATAATCTATTTACAAATTGTTCTTGTTCCTTGATAGTCATTTGTTCTAGTTTTTCACGATTAATATTAATATGATTACATTGCACACTATCTTCAATTCGTTGACAGTAAATATTTAATATAACAACAAATAAAATAATTATAATAAAAATCCTCATAGTAATCAATATATGAATAAATACGTCCAGCAGTAAGATGTTGATGGCAATATTTTCTATTCGTATTTTGTTGGCACTATAATTATGTTTTTGTTTCAATGTGTAAATGACTGCCGATCGACAGCTAGACACACAAAAATTTTTTGTTCTAATAAGATTGATTGCCTAAAGCAGTCACTATCAGCATTGGAAATATGTTTATCAATACAATCAAGCGTCAAAGTTATTCATGCAATTAGAATGACTCTATGCTATGCATTAAAGTATCGAATTGTAACACAACTTTCATCTGCTATTGGTTTTTTCATGGTAACAGAACAAACTAAAGATTGACAATTATCATTTTAACATATTTCTTCTTCTTTTATCAGCGATATATCGATCTGTAAAGCAAAGACTGCTTATCGTGACATTTTTCTATTTAATATTGCGTTATTCACATATTTATTCATAATCATTACAGAAGTAATACAGTTTCTTTTTTGTTGTTTTTATTACAAAATCCCATTATCCGAGAAATACACATGTCAAAAAACAAAGAATTATTAATTTTGATTAACAGCAACCACTTTTTTTTGTTTTTGATGATAAATTAATAATATTTTCACCTTTACGTAATCGATCATCTTTCTCTTGCATTAATCTACAAGAAAATGACAAGTTAGAAGTAAAAAATAATTTTAATAACAAATTACCGAGCAATTGCTTCCATTATTTCAATAACTGATGTACCTAATCGAGCACTACTTTCAAAGAATAAACATCGATATTCCTATAAATAAATATATATATTTTAATTGAAAGAAAATAATAAATCAAATTTACATCAGCTAATTTTGCTCCATCTTTATATTTAACAGGTCTTCGTTCATCATCATTACATAAATCAGTCTTATTACCAACAAGAACTATAATACAATCTTCATCAGTTAATTCCTATAATTATTTTTTATATAAAGAAGAAAAAAAGATTTTTTCTGTGAAAAAAAAAGAAACATACTTGAGTGCATGTTATCCATGAACGAACATTTTGAAATGTTATTTCAGATGTAACATCATAAACAAGAATAATTCCATCAGATTTACGTAGATATTGTTTAGTAATACTTCGAAATCTAAGTTCAAACAAGAACTAAAGAAAAACATTTTTTTTTCTGTCAAACAACACAAACCTTTCTTGGCCAGCCTAAAGAATATATTAAAAATAAATGATGCAAAAAAGCACAAAAAAAAAATACAATTCTTACAGTATCCCATAGTTGTAATGCTATAATACGATTATCTATATTGAGCATTTTAACTTGTAGATCAATACCAAGTGTTGCTGAAAAAGCTTCTGTAAAATGATCCTTACAAAATCGTTGAATAAAACTTGTTTTTCCAACTCCACTATCACCTAAATATAATGAATTTATTTTGAAATCGATTTACTTTTTATTTGACAAACCTATAAAAGCTACTTTAAATATTCGATCAGGTACTGCATTAGATGCTACATTCTATAATTAATACATAATAATTAATAATATAAATATTCATTCTATTTTACCATTAATTCTGAATGTTGAAAAACTGTCTGAGCACCAACTGGTTGATGACGTGTGCCCAGTTTTTCAGTTCTAAATAAATATATGTATATAATTTGTTTATTTTTTCGTATAAATAATAGTTAGTTAGAAAGAAAAACGTCCACAAATTATATGAATAAAATGCCAATCAGATTTTTTCGACTGAAGTGGCCGGTTGAAATTCTTCACTTAGCCAACGAAAAATTGGTGCGTTGAATATATAAATTAACTAATCAATTTTTTCTATAGACAGTGTGTTACTTCAGTTCTATGAAAATATACAATGTAAAACTCATATAACTCTTGAAGTTTCTAATAGTAACAACTTCTATTTTAGTTTGTCACGTTTCATATGTGTTGAAATTAACAACGAATGAAAATTTCTTTCAAAAAGTTTCATTTAGTAACTTGCAGCAACTAACATCTATATTATTTTTTCGCTGACTTTTTTCAATAATGGATATGATTTCTTTACAATTGATAAGTTTGATCTATTCTTATTTGAAATAGTTATTTAATAAAGCTGAAAGGCATCTCAATTCGTAAGAAGGATACTATGACCGACAGAAAGATAAGATGAGCTGAAACGTACGATTTTTATATTAGATTTCATTTTATAAGACTTCTTAATATTTAAATATTTTCATAGTTGTATGATGCTATTAGTTGGAAAGATTTTGACAATAGAACGGAATTTTTTCTGAGAGTTAGAAATTTTGAGGTGAAAAATCTTTAGTTAGGATCAGAATTAACTTCTAGTACTCGGCTAACTTTTCATGAGTATGATAAATTCATTCAGCATGATTCAAGACTTTCATCATATAATGAAAAGTGTAAGTTCAATACTTGAAGTTGGTATTTTGACGACAACTAGAAATTTTTTATTTTGAGACTTCCAGAGTCATATTTCTTGATCATTAAAGTTATGAAAATCGTTAAAAGGGAGCAAAATAAGCCAGTATTAATGTTCTAATAATCAATAAAAATCGTTAAAAAATAGGTCGACTGGGTTCCAAGTGTGAAGAACACTATCAACAATAGAAGATTTTTATTCTTGCCTTTCATGCAATTGTTCATCTGTGAATAACTGGTTGTTAGTTGATAAAGTAATTTTACTTAGAGTATTCAAAACTTTGTCGACAAATTTTATTTTAAGCTATTCTCACTCAAAACAAAAAAGTCAATTTTCATCAGAAAAATCAAAATTGAGATAAAAGCATTGCAAGATAGCCTCAGATCTGACCTTTTATCAAAAAGAAAATGTCCTTTTTTATTTGGCACCTTTTGTTTTTCAAACTTATTCTCTCCTTGAAAAATATACTTTATTGATAAAAAGTGAGAATCGATTTTAGTTTTTTAAAGTTTATGCTTTTTGTGATCACGCTTCCCAGAACTCACGAAAAAGTTTCCTTGTGATCGTTTGCTGTTTTGGTTTGAAAGAGTATTTGAAAAGCTGTAGCGCTCACTTTAGAATTAAGCTTTTTATAGATAATAATAAAAAAGCACTATTATAAATAGATGACTATGGTTTGAGGGTTCTTCACGGTATTGAACTTGCTATCCTTTGTATCGGCATTAAAAATAAGAGTTTACAAAGAGAGATCGATGAGGCGTCGTAATCTGACNAGATTTCTTTATACAGTTTTTGTAGAGCTTTTCACGGTGCATCTTTTAAGAAAAACATCAAGATTTTATCATTTTCTCAAGTCGAGATAAATGCAAAATTCAAAATGTTGCAAAACTTTTGGAACACCCGATATTCTCAATGAGGTTTTTTATTCGAATTCAACAGCCGTTGCGAAAGTAAGAGATCTTTTTTTCTATTATTTCAATTCTATTATTTACATATTCTAAACATTTCCTAGGTAAGCTTGATGCTGATCTTATAAGAATCAAGTTACAATTAGCTATTAATTTCCGACTAGTGCTAATTGAATCAGCGCCAAATGCATCCGCTTAGGTCTCTTGGAGATGGATGGGCACGAAGTTTTGCGAATGAATGTTAGTAGAGATGCCAATTAATGCATAAACTGACACTAGCACTTGAAGATATTTAACATTTTTTTGCCTCTCAGACAGAATACTAAAAATCAAAAGAAAAAGGTATCTCGTATTTTCGTGATGTCTATCTAATTTTGATTAGAAAATTTGATTGAGAACATCAAAGAACAGATCGATCCGGTCTAGGTTCAAAAATTTTCGACTCGATAAGCTCTACTCTCGATGATAGTGACCAAAAGTTTTAAAAAACTTTTTCAAACTTTTTCTTTATTCTGAGAAAGTTCAAGATGAAAAAGCCAAAGAATGATAAAGAATATACTGATAAGAATTTAGACAAAGACATGACTGAAGACTGATCCTGCTGGTAGAAAATTTGTAACACTCTAGTATTTACATTTCAGTCATGACATTTTAGTCGATCAGCTTATATCTCTAGATAAGAATGACGCTCCTACGTTCGAATAGTTGTTCTTTCTTTGCATGTAAATTTCATTGAATCATTACATTATTTAACCTAACTATTTGGTATGATTATATTGTTCAAGAAAGTGAACACCGATTGAAGATTACTCGATGAAATTCAAACAAAATAAGATCATTCAGAGAAAAATGCTTTTAACTTCCTACAATACACTATACATAAAAGTTCATCTCGCAGGAAATTAAATTGTCAATAAAATGAACTCTGTTTTTTTATTCATGGGAAATCAATAACAAACAATAAATATTATTTCGCATTTCTTCGTTAGATTAGAAATGGTTGAAGTTTGCACGTCACATTCTGTTCTTTTTTCAAAACAAATCTGGAATGTGCATGACTTATCGTGCTAACATTCTTCAACACACAATCAATTATTTTGTTTCATTTGTTGGAAAATACCGCTTATGTTGGACAAAAAAAACCAGAGAATCTTTCTAACTTTAAAAGGAAATTCTTTTGTTTATTGTTGCATCCATAGACAGTAATTGATTATGGAAAAACTATTACAAGAAGACATTAAAAAGGTTTACACAAGGGCAGAACTGTCTTTGTAAGTGGAATGAAGACTAATGCAATGCAAACATCTTTGAAAAAAAAGCTCGGCAATTTTGAATAAACTAAAAATTGTCACAAGAGAAATATTTTTTCTCTTGCTAATGTCGAAATATATTTGCAAGTCTTCATATTGAAAATGATACAATTAAACATTCTATTTTAGAAACCTATGCATTTAATCTATAATTTGATGTTGACAGTGCCTATTCAAAGAATTTTATATCGTAAGAGATACCAAGTGTCAATTTCCAGTCAACAATCAACTCTGTCCAATCTGTACGGTGTTGTGGATAGATATTGTATCCTCTATCAAACAGTAAATTGATCTTTCATTAATGCTTCAACTCTCTTTTCCTCAATAATCTTAGTCCAAAACAAGTAACATATTGACTTGTTGTCGATGATTCTTTTAACAACAGATTTTCAATGAGGGGTTAATCTTTCAAGAACAAAAAACGGATTCTTTTTTCATTACTGCATTTAGCATAATATTCTTATTTTTATATTGATAAGAAAGAATCTTGAATTTGTGCATATGTGTTTGGTTATACACTGCTTATAGAAGTCGCACATATACTATGTTTGAATAGCCTGATCAATTTTTACTTTCGCATTAGTTGCAAAATTGTGATTGCCTTCATTAATTGATATGCACAATTTATACTAGGATATGTTATACAAGACTAATATTTGCGTATAAATATTAGCAGTTGTTAAGGATGACGGGGGCTGAATCATCAACTACCTATCCAATGAAAGAAAAACAACGAAGAGGAAGAAACACAAGGTTATATATGTATATAAATATATTATTATTGTCATTAATTTATAGTATATGGCGTCACCTTTTCATTTTGAATTACATTAAATAGGAAGTATTATTCGTCAATATTATCGGAAGAAAAACAGGAAGTGTTTGTCAGTAATTTTTTATGGTATTGATTGGAAAAAACACAAGTTGGAATTTTTCCAAGAAAAACAACATACTAGAAGAAAAGGTTCTCGCGACGAACAAGGAAGTACTTTTTTCTATAGGCGATGTTATGGTAACAACGCAAAAATGTCTTCGAAATCAAGAGTAAACAGAGTTCGCAATTCGAAAAAAAAACTTTCCAATTAAATATTTTTGTGATTTATTTTCAATAAAACTGTTCAGAATTTCTAATGTATCTGTAGAAGGGTTGTTGATCGATTTCGCTATTTTTTACATTCAATAATAAATATTCAAGTCAAGGTATTATTATCGAACCTATCTTCAGATCTATTTTTATGATTTCGATTTCTGTTTGTCTAATGAGATACATTTCAGGTATGTTTTAAAACATTTATTTAATTAGACTTACATTTAAATATTAATCAATTATTAAGAAATTATTGGAACAATATAAGAAGATCCCTAGTATCTATAGTTGGAACTTTAATATCTTCAGAAGGAAATATTCTTGTCAGCTGTCATTTTCGAGGCATTTTACTAACAAATAGATCAGTCTGTGAGAAAAATATCAGATTGAAATACCGTCTTTCTATTTGTTGGTATATACCATGTCATAGTCTAAAATTTCAGTGAAATGTCTATAGCTCTTGACAGAAAGCTTAAGAGAAATTATCATTTTGGGGTAGTTCATATCGCGGATTGGGGGTCTATCTTATGCACAGAATACAAATTCGAAAGTAATTGATCAGTTGAAAACGCCCCTTCTTTATTGAATGATGATACGTACCATACAATTTCTACTGATGTATTATTCCTGTGTAACGGAAGGTTTGGTTTTTAAAACATAATCAACTGTTGGACATGTACAATATGATACTTCTTAATATGCATTGTTACGTTTCGTTTGTATTACATTGTTATTGAAATACGACCTCGAGTTTGGTGTTGACCTTGATAATGGATGCATTTTCTTCCCTAATGAATGTAGAGGCGGCTCAGAGAGGTCAAATGAGTCAAACTTTGAGACAATTTCATAAATATAAACAGAACTCAAACTATTTCCTGCCAAGCAAACATTAGTGAAGATTTCGTAATAACTTTTTGAGCAAAACGAAGACTATCGGATTTGATTAGAAACTTTGAAAATCGTACAAAGTTGTTCAAAAACAATCAAATTCATTTTACCGTCGATGTCTGCAGAAATTTTAGTTACGTTTGAAGGTTCTAACTATAGCATAAATTATGGGATGATTTTCGACTTTGTCACAGTATTTTCAATATCTTTTCAAGTTCACTAATTATTGACAAGGATGCTAAAACTGGTG